GTAACATAATCGTCGCGTTGCATAATTACCAACAACTTCGCCTCGGTAATAATTTCGGCTTATTCACTGCGCTGCTTGCGCCCTGTAATTACGATACACATAAGACACCTGTCAAGCTAATTCTCTCTCGGGGAAATTCAAATTGATGCAGTGACTCGGCAATGGCAGGATGAAAAGAAAGCCGAAGAATACACCGACGTCGCGAGCGAGCCAGGAGAGAAGCGTTGAGGCGCGGCGATGGGCGGCGACCAAAGTTCTACGCCTGCGCCACCCACACGTACACGCTCACACCTATACTTGCGTGAGCTGTATATTATTTGTCGCGCTGTTTCGCCCCCCCCCCCTCCCCCTCCCAGCCATGCAGACGGCAATTCGATTCCGTGCAGCAACCCTTGAAAAACTCCACCAGAGACATACGCTCCCACGAAGAGTGTTCCGCGGCGACGAGAGGGCATATCGATTGTCGAAGTGCGCATTCCAGCCGAGAGCTAATGTTTTCATTATCAGGAGAGACGGATCGAGAAATCTAATTACCTCTCTCTCTCTCTCTCGTGACAGTAATAATTCACAGCTGGTGTTAGCGGTATTACACTTGATATGCGCATATGCATACGGGGCTGCTGTGTCTGTCTGAACGCGACTGTATGTCGTTGCCGTCGTCAATTACGGATCGAAGGCTGTCTTTCAACACTCTCCAGACAACTTTCGCGACGTCTGTTAACTCTTTTCTTGGACGCTCGTTTGCCTGGAATAGGGAATGGCGCGAGAGATTATTCATCGACGAAAGCGAAAAAAAAGAAAAAGAAAAACTGTCCCTGGTACGCTCAAAAACGAAAAAAGCAGGGATGCGCGTACATAATGCGTGTGTACATAGTACGAGAGAGAGAAAGAGAGAGAGAGAGAGAGAGAGGACTTGCGCGGAGGGAAACTATCGATCCGTCGATGCTGCTGTAGCCCCGGCAGAAGCAGCAGCAGCAGCCGCCGGCTGAGGCACCAATCGCACGCGCCCGACGGATATAACGAGGTTTCGCGGCATGGCTCCGCTTCTCTCTGTCTGCGCGCATTGCTGCCACGCGAGAATAATGGACATATTTTTGCATTGTGAGGTCACACTGATAATAATGGCAGGCCGAGGGCGGACGACACTCGCATTAAGCTTCAGTTTTGGAGGACATGGTTGAGGCGACGCTTTTGTTGATCTATTCTGATTTTCGATGCATTTACAAATGATTGTGTACGTTTGATAAAATAATTGACGGCCAATCCAATTGCCTCTCTTACGTCGATCTGATAATGTACAGTTCAGTCGGTGTAGCAAACGGACCTTCCCGTCATCCCGAGTGCAATCGGACAATGCAGTATCACCGAAATAAAACTGCGCGATCGTCGCGGTCACTATTACTAGTCAGAATCTGCTTGGGTATACGATTATCCGTGAATCGGTATGATTATCGGGTCATCCCACTGTAACAATCATTGCATTCGTAGATTCTGCAATGATGTCAAAAAATTTTTTAGGGGGTCGAGGTGACGGAAATTTAACCGCGACTTCGGCGAGCTCAAAAACAATGACTCTAGCCAAATCCATAGGCTCGGAGTCTGACGCACAAGTCTATAAACGTCGTCTCGCGACAGCGACACGATAACTCCTCGTGGAGACAGAGAAGAAGGGCGGGAGGGGGGGGGGGGTTCCTCAAAGGTTAAATAATAAAAGGAGAAAAGCCTGGGCGACGAATAAATTAAGAGAGTCGCGCGCGCGCGTCGGGAAAAAGAAGAGGTGAAAAGGAACGAGAAGAGTACGTATAAGAGACTATAAGAGAAGAGGGGAGAAGCTTGATGGGTAGAAGCTTTTAGCCGGGCTAGATGGTGCCGAGATAACGACAGCGCGCTACTATGCCTTTCTTATATATATATACACATCCAATGCGCCGCTACTACTCCCGAATTTTTCCACTTCTTCTTTGCACTCGTCGACCTCTCTCTCTCGCTCCTCTTTTTTCGCGATTGTTCTTATTATTGGGGGCTCCCACGATGACCAAGATGAATTGGCTGTTCTTCGACGGACGCCTTGGCAAAGTCGAAATCTGGCGATGCCGATATGCGTGACGGCAAGAGCAATAGCCGTCTACAAAAGTAATTCGAGATGGCTCAGCTATCAAGACGACCCTAAACAATTAGTGCTTACAACCAGTCGAGAGTACGCGCGCGCACAAAATACGAGAGAGAGAGAGAGAGAGAGAGAGAGAGAGAGAGAGAGAGTCGATGCCAGCCGTAAAAAGCAGAAATCTCTGAGGGATATGTCGCGCGATAAGCTAGCATATTTGGGGAGCTTCGGAGCTCAATAAAAACGCGCAGCAGCAGCAGCAGCAGCAGCAGTGGCGGCCAAGGCGGCGGCAGCAGCGGTCTGGCGCCAGCTATTAAGATTACGCACCTTTCCGAGCAGCCTGTGTGCGCGGTGAGTCAGAGCGAGAGAGAGAGAGAGAGAGAGAGAGAGAGAGAGAGAGAGAGAGAGAGAGAGAGAGAGAAATGCAAAAGTGGAGCAAACATACCTGCGAGCCTCCGACGTTCTTTGGCTGGCTGATCGTTAACCCCCCGTAGGGCAAATCTCTGTAGCTTCTTCCGATTTCCTGACTTTTATCTGCGAAAGGTTAGGCTCGCGCGCGCAGGTACTGGAGCACAAAAAAATGTTTTCCAGATGTTTATCTGGTAGCTGCACGCTTGTCGGCAAGTCGTTTTCGCCGCGGCTATCGGTTCGCCGGCATCGTTCGCCCCATCGCGGCCGAAATTCCTACCCGGGCCTACTGGTTGGGAGGTCGCCTTCCAGCGCTCCGTGTTTTTTTCTTCGGAGATACAGGCTTTTCCTCGGCTCGGTGACGCGTCTCGCGCCTTTCCGCCGTGAGCCTGGGTCCGGCGGAGCTGCAAGCTCGCCGCGCCGCATCTGCCGAGACCGGACTCGTTGCGTAATCCCCCGAAATATTCACGGTCGGAGAGAGATCCAAGACGCGCGGACACGGCAAATCCCCGCCGGAGGATTAAGATGTCTCCGCGCGCTGTCGCTTGCGTAAGAGCCGCGCGATTGACCTTCCGGGGCGCACGGTAGCGTTGCGCCGCGACGACCACCCGCTGGTGCCCGCGCGCCCGCCGCCGATGGCCCTTTCTCCGCCCAGGCCCGCCGAAAGCGGCGAAACAACCTTAAGCGGGTGGATTAGTCGCACGCGGCGGACGCGCACGGATTATGCAGGTCGTTGCGCAACGTCTTCGCGAACGAAAAAGCAAATGAGCTACCGATTGCAAATCCGAGCACTACACTGTGCGCTTCGGTTTCATCGAGACGTGCCACGAAAGCACCGATGATCGGCGCTATAAATAAATGTCCGTCAGCTCTACCCTGGCTGCACTGTCTTCCCTTGGACATTCGAAGAATCATCCGCTTGGCGCATAGCAAATTGAAGCGTAGGAACATTTGTTGCTTCGCAGGATCGTCGAACAGCGATGGCACACATCTGCTTTGGAGAGCAAAGCCCACCGCTGCGCCCAATCCGATGACACTCTTCTGTCTCTCGCAGGCACATGATCATCAGCTTTATCCCCGGCATAAGCGCAACCACCGAAAACAAAGATCGGCTCAAGGCATTCCAGTGTCGTCCCCGTAGGAAATGTACACTGGGGGGCGTAAAAAAAAAGAAGAAGTGGTCCTCGGTAATCCTCTCCCCGGGCTCGTCGCCGCGCGAGACTCGCTCTTCTCGGGGCTAATCGAATCGACAGCCGCCGAAGACAAGAACCACGCGTCTTTTCTGTCGCTGCTCTTGAAAAAAGTGAGCATCTGCTCGCCGTACTCGACGCATATAGTAGCCTATCGATGCAGCAGCCGCCTTTTGTCGGCGCGACGAGAAACACGCGCAGCACGCACTTCAACCACGAAGAGAGAGAGAGAGAGAGAGAGAGAGAGAGAGATCCTTTTAAATGTCGAAGTGCTGCCTGCCGAGCAGTTTGAGTGTTTTATCTTTAGAATTTTTATATACTATCGCGCTGCTGTTTGACACTTATTTTATTATTATTATTATTATTATTATTATTATTATTATTATTTAGGAATACTCGCTGAGATGAGTCCCAAAAAGTGGCTCGTCGTTAACCAGGTACCACATTTGCTTATTTTTGTCTTTTATTATTAAGGTGTAGAAAATAATGTTGCTACAGTACTAGGGAATGTCCTCTAGTAACAAGACGCTTCGTTTCGTTTTGACTGACCCGTTACACTCTATTGAAGGGCCATGCTCTTGAATCACGAGATATCCTCTGGGTACGTAGTTACAAGATAATGTCCTACTGTAAGAAAAGCATCTCCCGCGCCAAAACGATAGATTCTCGTTTTAAGATGTCGTATTCTCAAGCGGAGAATTCGAAAGAGAATTCATTTTTGTACTGCGGCGAAAGGACATTGGCACCACTGTAAAGTGCCATCGAGAAATCCTTTCGATTTCAATGTTTATTCGTCTCGCAGAGTTTACAAAATTATTCGGAACATCGAAACTTCATCGTTCGATTATTTTTTATTTTTTCCGGCGATCTATAAAAATTGAGCTTTCGCGCATGCATATACGCAGTTCGTTCCAGTGGCCGCAGTTTTGCTATTGGTTCTTTCGGGTGGCACGCACACGTGCCTGGCGACGCTGCCGGCGGACGAAATCCAGCAGCGGTCGGGCATCGCCGGAAACGTCGCTTCGCGTTCGGAGCACGGGCCTCGACGGGCGAGAGCCGCTTGGCGTCGTCGTCGTCGTCGGCCAGCCGGCCGGCCTCGGCGCGCAGCCGCCACAGTCCGGCCGAGCAGACGAGAGTCACTCGATCGCGGTCGCGCGTCCCGGAGCCGCGTCTCTCACCCTCGCCGCGCGGCCGCCACGGTCGCTCCTCCCGGCGCGCGCGCACGCGAGGCAGCGCGCCGCGAGGGAAGGGAGGCTCGGGGCGCCGTGGAATCGATAGCGATCTGGCGGGCGCGCGCGGCCATTTTGTAGCCGGCCGCCAATGAGCGCGCGCCGTGGGCGTTGACGGCCGGGCGAGCGGCGAGGCGCGGCGAGGCGCGGCGAGGCGAGGCGCGGCGCGGCGTGGCGCGGCGCGGCGCGGCGGCGGGAGCGTGCCACGAGCGAGATAGGCAGCGCTCGGGCGGCCGGGCAGCGCTCAGTGCCTGTCGGGCCCTGGTCGCGCGCGTGTCTCGCGCAGCCTCGTCGCCCTCGCGCAGAGAAGGTGCGCGCGCCCGCGGAGCCTCGCCGAACGCGACAGGAGCTATAATAAGGCAGCGGGCGGCCGCGGGGAAAATCCGCCAAGATTACCCGCAAGTCGGTGGTCGTCGGCGAGGAGGAGGAGGGAGTGGAGGTGGTGCTTGGCTGCGCCCCGATGCAGCGCGGCGCCGGCCCTAACCAAGTGGGCCCGCTGCAGGGCCCACCTCGTTCCCTCAAGATATCGCCGGTCAAGATCCAAGACGACACCGGTGGTGACCCCATGGCTCAAAGTAAGTCCACAGTGCGCGCGCCAATAACCTCTCGATGCAGTTCGTGTGCGGTGCGTCGGCACGCGGCTTCGCCGGGCGGTCGGCCGAGTTGCGTGCCGCGTTCGATCGGATCGGCCCCGTTGCGGCGCCGAACGCCGAGCATGACTGTCGGAAAGAATTTCAGTTCCGCGCCCGGCAATCGCGCCGAGTGAGAGGGGGGAGGAGGCCGAGGGCGTCCAGTTTAATCGCGCAAAGTGCCCGAAACGACGCGGCCGACGCTAGGGTCATTGAACAAGGGGCCGACTGCTGATTTATTCCACTGCCGTCCGTCGGCCCGAAGGCGTCTCGCGCGGCAGCCTTATTTCTGGGTTAGTTGAGCAGGTCGCAGTCGTCGTCGGACTGGCTTGGATTGTCGAGGACCGTGTGCCTACGGAAGTGCGCGTGCACGCAGAGATCGGGGCTATCGACGATCCATCAGCCAGAGCGTCGTCGGTGCGCGCAGTGACAAAACAGCCCGGCGCGAAAATATTATTCCTCTCTGCTGTGCCGGCTGCGCCCACGGTAGGCTCGGCACACGGCTCGCCAGAACCAAAATCTCCCGTCCACCCTCTCGAGCGCACTAATCGCCGCTCCGTTAAACGGTCGCGCGGCTGGCAGAGTCGCAAAGAAAGCATCGCCGCGCGCACCGCTGTGCCGAGGAAAAACAAGCGCGACGTAAATAAAAGCTTCGTGAGCGGGGTGGGGGGTGCACGTCGCCCTGGTACAGGAATCATCAGCCGATTAGAGTGCAGATGTTCTCATCTGTGGATTATATGAGGCCTCTCTCCGCCGCCCCCCTTCTGCTGCAGCAGCCAGCCAGCGGCAGCAGGGGGAAATAAGGTTGACATCGTCTGTAGAAGGGGGCATGATTGAATTATCATGAGTGTGTTTGCGGAGCGTACCGCCAATCGAGTTACCCCCCTTCGACAAGCGCGTGACGACGTACATCGAGTATCTGGCCTTCTCGAGGGACACAATTTTTCATGGTAAGGCAGGGATCCTTTTTTGCCTCATCGATGTTTTCATTCGATCGCGGCATGATACATGTGGGGAAATATTGTTTCGGGGTCAGTGCGCGCAGACGCGTGTTTGGTTTTGGAAAATTGGAAAACGCGGAGGGGGGATTAGCATGCTCCTTTTGCTGTGGCGTGTTTTTCTTTGACGCTCTAATGGATAAACAAACGGAGGATCCGTCCCTTCTCGGACAATATTGTTTTTAGAAGTGATCGAGTCCACTCGCGGTCAGCAGCATTTGCGCTAACGGCTCCCTTCATTGGCAATTAGAAATCTGTCGGAAAAAGGAAAATCCGTTCCTAAATCAGTGGCGCACTTCCGAAACCGCTAGCACCTTTTTCGTGAAAATGAAGTAAGCATCATTTTCAAGACTCAAAATTATGTTGAAATTACGGCCTCCCTCTCTTTTTTTAAGTTTGTTTACGCGAAAAGCCGATAACGAGACGAATGATATATTACCCGCACGGATGGTGCTACGCTCGGGATCGGATATAGATCAATGGCGCCAAAAAAGGGCCCTTCCCTCCGTCTCTTTTTTCTTTTCCTTCGGGGGAGCCTTCTGGCTTGTCTCAAAACGACTTTCGGCTGCTCGGACAGACCCTTTACTGGACTTTAATCTTGTACCAGGATCTTTCCGTCCGATTTTTCCGGGACACGCGTTGATTTCCGTTAGCGTGAGACGGGTTAGGTTCTTTTTAAAGAATGCAGATGTACTCGCGGAGCTTCCTTTTGTTGCTTGACGTTCAGTACAACGAAGCTCGATCCTTTGCATTACGGTTAATAAATTTTATTAAGTACTCGCACTCAGCTTATCAAACTGTTTCTCATTTCAAGCAAGCTTATACAATCGATTATTTTTTTTAAGTTGTTTTACTGACTTTTATTTAAGTTCGCCTTTCAACGCTCGATTCAAGCAAAATGTTTACAGTGTACTCATAGACTCCAAGAGCATGAACACACCAAGAGTTAAATAAATTGTGCGTTGGTCAATTGATAAACAATCAATGATGAATATGAAAAGACTGACCAGTAGCTAATTCGATTATAACTGTAAAAGTTTGAATGGGCAAAAAGACAAGTGTACAGGAATTTCACACTTTCTACCGTATTCCGCGCATAGACGATCAGTATAGATATATCGCGTCGATTCTTCGAAAATATTTATGACTCACTAGTCGCAGCAATCGAAAATAGCGGAGAACTTTGTTTTATTTCGTTTGGACTTTTCAGTTTTTCCACAACCGAGCCTGACGTCGAGCGATTTGGTGCGTGCGCGGCAGCGTAACGCGCTCGCTAAATAAGTTACGCACAGTCAGGCTAAAATAAAGCGATTTGTCAATGGCATACGACGAAAGCGGATGCTATTCTATTCTTCACGCCAATGCGCGGGGCTATTGCAAAGAGCGCGCGGTGGGCGAATGTGCGCAGTGCATCTAGAAATGCAAATCGATAGTCAATTAAGCCGTCGGATGTTTGTCTCTCGGGCGCGCGAATAATCTATTTCGTCCTGATTAGAAATGCGAAAATACGCGTGCTTAAAATTCAGAATATAGCCCCGCGCGTTCACCCCGAACGAGGTGGAATCCACGCACGCACACGCACGCCACTAATGACTCGCTATCTTTTCCCGCGTCTTTGATTTATGCAGCCGAAATATCCACGGATTTTTGCGCGTGTGGGGCTCGCGCGCGGTAGCCGCGCATCTAATTTTCACGCTCATTATGCCAGCAGCATTAAAGAGAGGGAGAAAGAGAGAGAGAGAGAGAGAGAGAGAGAGGATTAAACGTATGAAGGAAAAAGAAAGACGAAAAAGTCAACGAATTAGAACCTGCTCTCGGCGCCGGAATGCCGCTTGAAGCAACGCGCTGCTGATAAAAGAAGAGAGAGCCATGGCCAACACCTACATAAATTTCAGACACACGGAGAGTGAGACAGAGAAGTTGGAGGATATCGGCTCTCTTCTCTCTCTCTCTCTCTCTCTCTCTCTCTCTCTCTCTCTCTCTCTCTCTCTCTGCGTGTTTAAGAACGCGCCGCTCGCCTCTGTGTCTACGTGTGCGTATACGCATCCTAAATTTAGTGCCGATAAAATTTACCTTTTTTTATTCCTCGTGATTAGGTCGCTTCGAAGCTGATTGATCGGGGCACGCTGCTGCTGAATTTCTACTTGCGATGATATGAACTTTTTACTCTGGAGATTTATCGACAGATGCGCTCGACTTGACATTGAATAGGTGTACTGTTGTCGTCATTTCGTTATCTTGCATTCCTACCGACCTCGATTATCGAGCTGTATTTGGCGCACGAGGAAAGTAAGCGAAAACTATGCGCGTAAGATGGATAATCTCGGAAACCGCAGGCATAAAAGTCAGAAACGACGAATGACGCCGCAGGCAAATGGTATGAACAACATCCTCCGGCCGGGAGGAATTCTGCGGCGCTGCATTCCCAATCGTCTTGACCTCACTGGAAAAGCATAGATTCCACCGATCCCCCCTACGAATAATTAGCGAAGGTGTTAATGAAATAGCGCATAGCAGTCAGCGGCGGCGCCTTTTGCCGTCAGACGAACACGCAACAGGCCCCGGCGCCGAGTCGTCGTCGCTGCTTCTACTCTTTTCTTTTTTCTTATTTCGCGTCAGATCCACTTTGACTAGGGGACTTTACCGGGTGGCTTGCTTCATTTTTCAACGGCTAACACGCGCGAGGACCCAAAGACCAACCTCCTCTTTTTTGTCTGCCGGAAGCTCCGAGACTGTACTCGCGCGCGAAAGCTTGTTTTTCCTTTTGCGTTGCTGACCCATATAAACGTTTCGTCGCCGCTGCCAGCCTTGTTAGTCGCGGCTGGTTTGAGGGCTATATGCTAATTTTTCAAGTTGTTCGTTCTTTTTCTTGTTTTTCGGAAGACGACGCGCCCCATTGCGGAGTTTGTCCGAAAGAACAAAATAAACAAAGGCAAAAACCGAGTTTGTACTTTCCGCGCGCGTGATAAGAAAAGATCGAAGATGTCGGTTCGATGCTTAGCTGTAAAATGAAATTTTTTATCAATTTTGATGGGCCGCTCTATGACCTTTGATTACCTGGAGAATAGCAATAATATATGTATGAAACTAGGATATAATGTTTGCTTTTAATTGCAAGATTATTGCGGAAACTTGGAGCGCGCGATAAAAAGCGATGATTTACCGCATGAAAATTAGAAGCGAACGAGCGTTATCTTATTTTCCACTCGTTTCAACGACCATCATTCCGCAATCGTGAATCTGTGGTGTTTAGGTAAGATAGTTTAAGATAGTTTCATAATAAGACATAAAATGATCAAAAATCTAAATGATCGTTCACAATGTATGTTTTTGACTGCGCGTAACGGTTAATTAGAAATAGCCATGAAAAAATGTCACGCACTTGAGCGACTACCGTTACGAAGCACAAGCTTTTGTAAGAGAGGATAGGACATCGACGAAAATCGAATTCTCGCGAATCGAACGATCGATATTTCAAAAATACTTTGGAGCCGCTCGCGTGACTTTCCGAAATACTACGGGAAGCGGACCTGGAGAGTCTGAAAATCCAGAAAGCTCGTCGATCGAGCGAAAACAAAGTCCGATCGAACTTCTCTGTCTCTCAAGAGTCGCAGTCGCGGCAAGGAACAAAGGGAAGCTCTCGTCTTTGGCGTGAGTGCGCTTTACACAGTACAGCACCGTCGCGCGATCTCGTACAAGGAGGCGCGTTCCTTATCGGGGAGAACTTCTCGAAAGGCTCCAACATCTCAGCGCTCGCGTGCGGCCAGAGAGAGAGGGAGAGAGAGAGAGAGGTTGCAATTTATACCAGGCCGCCGCTGCCGCCGCCGCCGCTTGTCGGCGAACTGCAGCGCGAAACTCTCGTTTTGCTCGCGGCAGATCCTTATCGCGATTAGCTCTGCCTGGATTTCGAGCGCATCCATATTTATACTCGCGCTAGTTGCGCACTGTGTCCAGGGCATTAATTGCCACCTTCGTAGCTGCGCGCGAGCACGTGTACCGTCTTATTCTTTAACGAGCGGCATTATACACATTTTATTTGCATGTTGATGGATTAATTTTAATGAATACCAATGGGATTTTCATTTGGCTACGTAAAAGCTTTATAATTTGGCGGGACAGGTGAGAAGTCGAAGATAGCTGTGCTAATTAGGATTGACAGTGTTGTACGTGTGAATAGTCCTCTCGCGATATTGCGAACCACCGCCACTTATCAATGAGTCTACTTTAATAATTCAAACGTGAAAAACCATTTGATACGTCCGCACTTGTGTACAATAACGCGCGTTGCTTGGCCTGCAAGGAAGAACGCAAACAGCTCGGCTTGTCAGCGAACCTGCCCGTCCTCGTTATTTCAAACAGTTCTGTAAAACGTCCAACAAATAGTCCTCTCTCCAATTTATTAGACTGATGGGACGCATTTTCCTGTACAAATATCACCTGGCTGCGATATATTTATTACTCGGATTACCACGCACGCGCAAAGTCAAAATAACGAAGCAATAATTTTGCACGAAAAAACGCGATTATTGGTCCGATTGAAAAAACTCTGCGCTTAAGTTTTCTCGACACCATGCCCAATCGTGCTTTGTTAAATTTAGGTTCCGAGGACAGCAACCCAAAAAAAGCGTTCGACAATTTTATCGCAACGGAGGAAGTGTCGTTGTTAAATCGCGCTCTCGAACAGCAAGCAGGCACACGAACGCAGGCATCAATCCATAAATGTTCAGAAGGACGAAATTTCGTTCAACGCGCATAATCGAACTTAAGGAGAAAGAGAGAGAGAGAGAGAGAGAGAGAGAGAGAGAGAGAGAGAGAGACTGCGAGAGAGGGAAAACTTGGGCGGAGCGTACCGTCGGCGCGCTGTCTCCCCCTTCTATGCCACAAGCTACAACCACAAAAGCTCCGCCTCCCCCCTTTTTCTCTTTGTCAATGCGTTTCAGCGTCTGTGCGCAGCTTTTGTCTCAACGTTTTTACCTGTTTTGCGGGCACGTGCACGATGCGAATGTATCGCGAATCGCGCGCTCCTTTCTTTGCGTCGCAACAAGTGGCGATGCACGATTGACGAGCGAGAGCAGAAATGAGAGAAACGAAAAAAAGGAAGGAAAAAAAAGCAAGAGAAATGTTTTTCTTTCTTCGCGCCGACGCACTTTGTATCGCGAAAGCAAACACAGCGATAAAGCAAAGGAAGGATGCCGCGCCGAAGAAGAAAAGGCGCGTGCGCGACACTTTATCGGCGCGCGCGCTCTTATCTCCCGAGCGTCTCTTCCGGATAACGCGAGCTGCGAGCGCTCGTAGATTTCCGTTTGCAACGAGGTGCTCGTGCGATCCGTTATTGATTCCCGTGTGCGCGGTTTGGCGCGTGCGTCCGTCGGTGATCGATTGGTCGGACGCTTCGATCGATCTTCTCGATGTATTTATCCCATCGGACGACGCTCGTTCGCTGGACGCGACCTCGGAATCGGGAATGTCACGCGTCCCCCGGGAGGCGCGGTACAGCGAACGGCGCGCCTGACCGATGCGCAAATTCAACATTTGCAGAAGGAAGGAGCTCGCTGTGCGTCGGCTGCGGAGGACGCATCCACGACCAGTGGATCCTGAGGGTGGCGCCGGACCTCGAGTGGCACGCCGCCTGCCTCAAGTGCGCCGCCTGTCAGCAGTTCCTCGACGAGAGCTGCACCTGCTTCGTGCGCGACGGCAAGACCTACTGCAAGGACGACTACGTCAGGTAAGCGCGAGCCCGCGGAGCAGCAGCAGCAGCAGCCTCCGATCGGCGCCGCTCTCGCGCCGCGCGTCCGGTTTATTTGGAGAGGCCCGCGCGAAGAAAGAGAAACACACAGGCGCGGAGAAGTAGCGAATCTCCCGCATCCGGAATTTCGGGGCTGGAACTCAAACAAACGGACCGTCAGTCTGTCGCTGAAAAACCGCCTGTCCGCGACGCCCGACGACGAATTTTTGTGCCCGCGCCCGCGCGCGCGCGGTTAAAAATAGGCGCGGAAACGGCGTCGTCGGCGAGGCGGCGGCGCCGCGCCGGCCCGGCTTGCGAGTCAGCTGAGCGACAAAGCTAATTGCGAATTGTCCGGCGGACTGGCGCACAGGTTGTTCGGAACCAAGTGCGACAAGTGCCGGCAGTCGTTCAACAAGAACGACTTCGTGATGCGGGCCAAGACGAAGATCTACCACCTGGAGTGCTTCCGCTGCTCGGCCTGCATGCGCCAGCTGGTGCCCGGCGACGAGTTCGCGCTGCGCTCCGACGGCCTGTTCTGCCGGCACGACCACGACGCCCTGGAGGGCGAGAAGCTGTGCGGCGGCGGCGTGGCCGCCGGGCTGCCCGGCAACGAGAACAACAACAACGCCAACCTGACCAACAACAACCACCACATGCACCCGAACGACGGCTCGCTGTCGGGTAAGTGTCCGCGGCGCGACGACGCCTGCGGGCTTAGCGCGCGCGAACGAGCGGGGATTAGGGCGCGCCCGCGCCGAGTCGAGCCGGCCCGGACGGAGCTGCAGGTGTTGATAATTGAAGCGATTAGGGCTTGACCGGGATTAGGCGGCGCGCCGGCCTTTGATGGCGCGCGCTCTAATCCTCGCCGGGCGCGCTCCGTCCGGGGAGCCAATATCAATTGACAAACGAGCACGGGCGCGCCAGCGCTAATTCCTCGCTCAAACGAGGCGCGCCCGCCACGGTGGCCCGGCGCAATTAGCACGTGCCCGCGACATCGCCGCTCGCGCGCGAGGCGCTCGAGGCGCTCGAGGCGCTCGAGGCGCTCCGTCGGCCGGCCCGCGTCGTCCGGGCGAGCGTCGGCGATCGATCCCGAGCGGCCTTCGCGCGCCCGCGAAAGGAGCGTCGGCTCCCGCTCGCACGGACGCGTCCGTCGCGATCTCGCGTGCCACCGAAAAGTAAAAAAAGGAGCGGAGAAGGATCGTCCTTTTTTCTGCTTCTCCCGCGGCGGCGGAAAGACCGGAATCTCGAGTCCGGTCCGAGAGGTGTCAAATGTAACAGACAGCCGCCAACTACCGTGGCACACAGCGCGCGACGCGCTCGCTTCATTAATCCGCGGCGTCGCGTCACCGGTAGCTATCGCGCGCCTCGTAAAGCCCTTTATTTATTCCTCCGGCGAACAGGCGAAAACGCCGCCGCCGGCAGATGACAATCTTATCGCGCTGGGATCTGGAGAGCGCGAGAGGGGCTTATCGCAAGGACGGTTACGAAATGCGCCGGGACCACATCAAAGGCATTCTTTCGACACATGCTATCGCCCACTCCGGCGGATAATTATACGCCGATAATCGCTCGGCCTCCTGCCTCGTCCCGCGCGCCGCGGCGCGAGCGAGCCAAATTTAGCGGGGCCCCGCTTCCTCGACGAGCGCCGCCCGAGACCGAGAATTTCCCGAATTTCTCCGCGCGGGCCGCGATCGCGCCGAGACTGGCTCGCGGCGCGCGTGCTTTTTTCGGATCGGCGCGCGGGGCAAGGACGAATTTAACTCTCTCGGGCGAGTCGCCGGCCGGGAGCCCGGGAGGCCGCCGGCAAGCAGACCAAGCTGAACGCCCGTTGCCTTGCGCATTCCGCAGATTCGGGCTCGGAGAGCGGCTCGCACAAGACCCTGGGCGGCGCCCGCGGCAGCGGCGGCGGCGGCGGCGGCGGCGGCGGCGGCGGCGGCGGCTCGGGCCACAAGAGCGGCGGGGGCGGCGGCGGCGGCGGCGGCGGCGGCAGCGACGGCAAGCCCACGCGGGTGCGGACCGTGCTGAACGAGAAGCAGCTGCACACGCTGCGCACGTGCTACGCCGCCAACCCGCGCCCCGACGCGCTGATGAAGGAGCAACTGGTGGAGATGACGGGCCTGAGTCCGCGCGTGATCAGGGTGTGGTTTCAGAACAAGAGGTGCAAGGACAAGAAGAAGACCATCGCCATGAAGCAGCAGATGCAGCAGGAGAAGGTACAATTGTTGAGTTGGCTGGCGGCCGCGGCCGTTGCGCCCTGAAGTAACGGAGCGTCGCCACTTGCAGGACGGTCGGAAGATGGGCTTCGGCGGCATGCACGGCATACCCATGGTGGCGAGCAGCCCCGTGCGGCACGAGAGCCCGATCGGCATGACGCCGCTGGAGGTGCAGGCCTACCAGCCGCCCTGGAAGGCGCTGTCCGACTTCGCGCTGCACACGGACCTCGACCGGCTGGACCCCAACGCGCCCTCCTTCCACCACTTGGTCTCCCAGGTGAGCCGCCTCGGCGCGCCCGCCGAGCCCGCCCGAGCCCGCCCGAGTCCGCGCCTCATCACCGCGCCCCCCCTCCTTTGCAGATGCACGGCTACGACATGCATGGCCAGGCCCCGCCGCAGCTACCGCCCCCGGGCATGATGGGCGCCGGCCCCATGGGCGACGCCGGCGGCGGGCCCCTGCCGCCGGCCGGCCCGCACCACCCTGGCGACGTCGGCCAGCACCCCGACAGCACCGACAGCTACGTCACTTACCTCGAGAGCGATAGCGACTCGCTGCACCACGACCAGGGCAGCCCATAGTGCCGCCCCTTGAACTTGCAGAGGGACAGCTTTCTCGCCTGAACCGAGCTGCCCGCGGGCCGCTCCGCTCGCGTTTTCGCGCTGCGAGTGCGTTTCAAATTCAAGTGGATTGGTACGGTTATTACATGTATATGCGAGATTTGTTGATAAGAGACGAGTGTCGTTTGATGTTGTTAAAGTTTTCCGCGTTCGACGCGCTCACCGAGTGTTCTACGAGATTACCTTTTTTGTGTTGTTGTTGATTTATTATTTTGTTTCGTGATGCGCGCGACCAGGATGCACGAGCGAACGCGATCCGTTTGACTTATTCGCCCGACAAGTTGCAAATGCGACTTACCGTCACACAAGATTCATTTGTTGAGTTTTCCTGAAACCTGTCAATTCCACATAGTCATGAACTTTCCCTCGTGTATTGTATATCTTACTATATGCCTGTGAAATGCTGTAAATACTTTAGAGATACGTAAAGAAGAGAAAGACAATTTGTAAATATATATTTTATTGGAGGCGCTAGAGCAGACGAGAAAGACAGAACAAACTAATAAAACCTAAATAGATATAAATATAAATAAGCAAGCATACTTGAATGTGATGTCGCGTGTCAGAAAAGCGTTATAATATAGCATCAATTATAAGCATTATTTAAAGCAAAGAAAGGAGAAATACCAAAGCGAGCACACGCTATGTTACGTTTGTAAATATGAAAGCTTGTAAAATTGCCATTTTTCAATGCTGTATATTACACGCGATGTATATGTACCGCTATGCATTATACCGTCATTAGGTGACAAATTTAAACAATTTTAGAATTTGTATGATATTTCTATACGGCGCACTGTACGTAATAAAACAAACATTTCGAAATGAAATGAACGTATACCTGTGACTACGTTTCTTTTTCAACTATTCCATTCATTTCCTTTCATATTATTATTACGAAATTTCTATTTCTTTGCACTCGATGTAGTCGATGCCAAAGTCCAATTAGATTTTCTTTCAAACGATAAATTCAGAATAAACAAAATATTCCAATTCTCATTTCAGAAATGCAGCTGTCGGTAATATAGGGATTTTCACGCGTATAAACCACGTGCACGTCACGGTTGCAACCTAGTATATCGACACTGACAATCAACAAACACACAATTGCACACTTTTCCTTTCATTGTTCTATTGACTTATTAATATTTATTAATATCAATAATAAGACTTCAAAATGACAACAAAAACGAAGCTAGTGAGTATATAGTTAATCATTTTATTTCATACCAAGTAGTTTTATTTTACGCTGAATTTTTAGGTTATATTTACATTTTAAACCGCAAACTACATTATCATTTTTTAATTAATCAATGATTGGTATTACATTTTAGCCTCGAAATAAAGTTCCACGGCCAAAGCTGGCTAAACCTCCCTCACAAGTACCTCAGAATAGACAATCATCATTCACATCATTATCAAGTGCGGAACCACAAACAGCAAGTGGATTGAATCAGGAAGCAGAGGATCAATTTGAGTTGGAACTTTGTTGGTGTGTTCAACAATTAGAAGCTGCACTTATGAATGTGAATCTCCAGGAAAAGCAAGTGTACAACATGACAAAAAGTCTCAATGTACTTAAAAGCCACAATGCATCGCTCATTAAAAAACGACAAGTTATGAGGAATACTTTTGGTGATTATCGGACAAAAATGACTGAAGATGAGAAGAAATTTGGTAAAACTACTGGTGTTGTTAAATTTACAACTGATAATAATAAAGCACAGCAGAAAGCAATATTTTTAAAGAAAGCATCTAGTCTGCTGAATAGACCTGCTGAAAACAAAGACGAGCCACTGAATCAAACAAAAACCATAGCAATAATGAATTCAACTGTGTCAAATGAACCATTTAAGTTTAACTTTTGTGTAGATGAATTATGAAATTACGTTTAATTAAAATTAATTAAAAAACATTTGTGTGTCATTGACAAATCTTATTTACAGAATTATTCAAAAGACACCAATTTCATGCAATATATGACTTATTTACAAATACCTTTGTACATATGTTTGATAAAATAACAGGAGTTTTTTAATACCAAATATGGTTTTCTAGTGCTGTTCTACTTACATTCCCAGGGGTTACCTAAATTTTACAAGGGTTTCCATTCACAATAGGTATTAAAACTTTTATGTAGACTAAGTTTAATCAATTTATTAATCGGTATCATGAAATACTGATGATTTCTATAACTTTAAAGTTTATTTAATGACCATTAGGTTTCAAAATAGTAAGTTTATATACTAAAACTACCTTCTGCCACGTATCAACGGTCCTGTGGCGCAACGGATAACGCGTCTGACTACGGATCAGAAGATTCCAGGTTCGAATCCTGGCAGGATCGTAAGTTTTTTTTATTTTCAAAAATTGATCTTTATTAAAAGTATAATTTAATGCAATCTGTAAAATCATTCTTTTGAAATTTATTGTATATTTATTGGCAAAATATTTATGTCTTGCATTTTTGATTTTATGAGTATAGATATCACGTGTGCTGCAACAGTATATATATGCTGTATATCTATTAGTACATGATTTCTGTATTTCTTTGTTTTATTTTACATTCAAATTTTTTTTAATTTAATAAATTACATTGTTTTTAAAATCATTGTAGTTAAATACTCACTGAAAAATGGAAAACATTAAAAATATTTATTTAAATAGAAATTATTGTTTAATAAAGTAAGACTTTGCCAGTATATTTAGATAAGAAAATAAACATATTTTTATAAAAAATAGAAGTACTTTATTATTTTTGAATATTTAAATGATTGACAATGTTGAACACTTTCTAAATAGATTAAGTGACAAATATAATACATCAGACATTTTTTTATTCCAATTTTTCCAAAACAAATAAATTTGAAAATTCAACATATATTCAATTAACATTGGCTTATAAAATATCTAAAATACAAATTGAAGCATAGGTAATATCTAACCATTTTTATCTTTGTATTTTAATTTGGTTGTGATTAACATTCTGATATCTACAATTGTTCTTATAAAATATGGCACTAAATTGATTTCATAGAATTCATAAAACAGAAACCATATCCAATATCAAATTTTCCTATTTAATTAGTTGATCTTTTACACAATCAATAAAAACTTAAATTTTTTTCTAAAATGTTAATCAATCTATATAGTCAAATTAGTGTTTCTCACAATTCTTTTATATTTCTTCATAAAAGCTGAAATTTTTTCTGTTAATTCTTCCACTGCATACATCTCAACTAACTTAGACAATTCAACAATATTTTCTGGGTTCACATGAAAAATTAAAAACTCTATACATTCTGTTTTCAAATCATTCAATTGATATTTGGCAGCAGCTTCAAACAATTCAACTGGCATTTTATCTAAATTGTTACTCCTACCAGTATAAATATAACATAATAATTCTTGCATCACTTTAGGAGAAACATCAACAATGTTTACTATTCCAGTTTGATTTTCTGTCATTTCACAGTTGAACATGGCTTGAAAAACTATACTTCTACATGACAATATATTCTTGTGAGCTTTGATGGACACATCTCCAACTTTAAGTGTTACATCACTGTGTACTGGATTATCTAACAGAGCTCTAAAATCATTTTGGATTTTATTGAATGAAAAGTCTGGTCTAATACAAAATCTGTCAATTTCTACAGTAATCAATGCGCCACTGAGATCATTGAGAATGCAATCCATGTGATGATCTGAATTAACAAAAAAAGTCATACTTTTTGCAATCCTGATTTCATCAAAAGAGCAGACTTGTTGTTGTTTGCCAATCTTAAGTCTCATGTTACATGTTATTCTGTACTTGTAATCATGTGACATTTCATGTAGGTAATTTTGAAACCTCAAATCTAATTTAAAATAAACAACATCATGGTTTCCTCCTGGTGCATAATCACAAGTACAACTATCTCTGCGGAAATTGCAATGACAAGGTTTCAAAGCTGATGGACTTGATGGTTCATTAGTAAAGGATAACGTAAAGTCCACTTCCTCATGAGGAAATCTATCAATTTTAACCCTCTGTTTTCCTTTGATAAAGTTCTCTTGTTGATCTCTCTCAATGGTAAGAACATTCTGATTTCTCGCAAGTTCTGCTACCGGCATTCTGATAACTCCTGTACGACTCATTTTTATACTTCTACCGACGAAACGTGGGATTATAATATCTTTGGTATTACTATCACTTTTAATGAATCACAAAACTTTTACTCTCTTAGAACATTTCTTCCGTTTACTACTCCATTAATTGATTCGCGTCTCAATGTGTTAGGTGTGTGTCTACTGTTATTGTCTGTTGGAAAGTACACACTTATAAACCCCACGTGGTCTTCTCCCATAACTAGACACCTTCACACGCATGCTTATACACATCTCCAGATTCATCAGTTGCCGCACAGTGTATATACCTAGTAAGCAGCAGCTGTACTGGAAGAAGTGAAAGAACACTCAGTCTCAGTAAGGTAAATTCCTTAAAAATTCAGAAATATTTCTTTAATTTTTTCTTTACTTTCTCTATTAAATAACACTTACTTCTACCTCTATGGTCAGTTAATCTATTCTCGCCTTTCTTCAACACATTCGATACTTACTTACTTGCCTTTTCTTTTCTTTCGCTTTGCTCTACCCAAATAAAATGCCAATTTGAATCACGCGCGCAAACGTATCAAGTCAGTTGATGGCCGTATGGAACACAGCTTGCTATACTGTGAGTCGACACCAGAGCCAACAAATACTAAAGCCCTGGTCCCATAGCTACGTATGAATGCGGACGGATACGGACGTGAATCGCAACTCTAGTAACATCACTAAAAATATCTAGTTCGATTATTTAGTACCAACACTACCGGTAGTGAGCAAAAGTAACTGTTGTTTAAAACTGTAGCGCCGAACGTACCACATTTAATGTTCAAATGTCAGGTCTACAATTTACTTTTCAAATTCTCATGAATATTGCTTATTGATAAGTATGCTAATGTAAAAAAAGCTTTTGGGATGATTAATACATATCATTTATATATATTTTCTTCTTCTTCTCATATATTCAAGTACTTCCATAAAATTAAGGCCTAATTCCACTAATTGTAGTTGTAAGTCTATCAATTCTCTATCATTTGCTATCTTATAGACTGCAATAATGTAAAAGGTTAAGTAAGCGTTCATTAAATGTGGAACGTTCGGCGCTACAGTTTTAAACAACAATTACTTTTGATCACTACCGGTAGTGTTGGTACTAAATAATCGAACTAGATATTTTTAGTGATGTTACTAGAGTTGCGATTCGCGTCCGTATCCGTCAGCATCCGTACGTATCTATGGGACCGGGGCCTAACAGAACAGAACAGAACAGAACAGAACAGTCTCAGTCTCAGTAAGGATGAGCGACGACGTAGCTGTAGCTATGCAGAAGGTTTCACTGAAGGAGGAAAAGGCATGATAGTAATACCGATTTAAACGTTCGCTGAGAGGGAGAGAGCAAAACAAATTTAGTTAACGAGCAATTCAGGCGCGCAATTTTTTAATTGCAAGGGGGTCATGCTGCTGGCAATTCTGAGCTGCCGGGGACTCGGGTTCGCAACTCGTCCCGGCACCAGATGGAAATCACTAAGCGCCCTGGTTGGTCTTTCTCTCGACAAGAAAGAACGAATTCAACGTGATTTCCTTTCGTTTCTAATATTAGCGACTAAACGAGCGCGTGCATCATTGAATTTTCACATAACCTATCTTTCGCGCGTGACCGCGAGTTTTTTACTCTACTACTATGGTTCTAAATGTAATTTTTAAGAGTTTTGTGGTATTTTGTGTGTAATTGAGATTACCGTGTTAAATGTATTGTTATGAGTGTCATTATTGCGTATTTTTATTTCAGAGCAGCCGGTGATCGTTTAAGATTTTCATTTTTGGTTATTTGTTGTCGAGAGAGTAGCTCTTTTAATGAGGAAAATTTGTGCCTTGTGTCATATTGTTTTGAGCTTTAAGCACGTTATAAATGCTTTCTAACAAGTTTTCTGTTTTTTGCAACTATTGATTGCAATTATAACGTTTTTGCAATGACAAATCAAATTTTTTATAGAAAGCCTACATGTTCAATAGTATCTTCTTTTCTAATAAATACTATTTTATGTTTTTTATTCAATTAAAAATCATTATATTAAATATACAAAATTTTAAAAATTGTGTCGAATCATATCATGTAGAATCAACATCTGTACAAATTTAGTCTAGTAAACACATGCTTCAAATTGCATCATGTGGAGTCCTTGTTATATATGTATCCTCTATAATATAAAGTATTACTGCAAATAATGCTCCAAACAAGATAATAGTACTTAAATTATACAACAAATAATTGTTAAATTATTTAAAGATATTTATACGTTAGTGTTGATCATTAATTATAATTGGATATTTTTAAATATAGGTAAAAATGAAGAAAAAGTCTAATACTCCAGAACAAAGCGATATTAAGGAATTGAAGTCATGGCCAACTTACATTCAGGTAAATTATCACCATACTCAAATATTCTCAATTATTTTCATTAACTATTGCTTAATTAAAAATTTTCAATTTATAGGACAGAATAACGCTCTTTGACAAACTAAAGGCTGAGTATGAAGCAGAACTGGCAACAAAGCTATCTGCTGAAATAACTGTAACACTACCTGACGGCAAAAAAATATCAGCACAATCCTGGCGTACTACTCCTTATGATGTAGCAAAAGGCATCAGTATAGGGTTGGCTGACAACACAATCATTGCTAAAGTAAATGGCGAAGTATGGGATTTGGATAGGCCATTGGAGTCAGACTGCAAACTGGAATTGCTCAAGTTTGATAACCCGGAGGCTCAGGCAGTCTTCTGGCATTCAAGTGCTCATATTCTTGGAGAGGTTGTGGAGAGAGTTTATGGTGGTTGTTTATGTTATGGTCCACCCATTGAGAATGGATACTATTATGATATGTACATTGGAGATAAAGCTGGTATATCAAATGATGATTTTCCATATTTGGATTCACTGTTTAAAAATATCGTTAAAGAAAAACAACCTTTTGAGAGACTTGAAATGAAGAAAGAAGATTTGCTGGAAATGTTCAAGTACAACGAGTTCAAAATTAGAATTTTGAATGAGAAGGTCAAAACACCTACCACTACTGTATATAGGTAGCGGAATATTTTCTACGAGAAACAAATTTAAATGACAAATAATAATTATGAAATAACATTGAAAAATCTAACTCTTTTCAGGTGTGGATCTTTGATCGATTTGTGCCGAGGTCCTCATGTACGACACACTGGAAAAATAAAGGCAGCAAAAGTGACGAAATCCTCGTCGGCTTATTGGGAAGGTAACGCTAATGCAGAAACGTTACAGCGAGTTTATGGTATCAGTTTTCCTGATCCCAAGCAACTGAAAGAATGGGAAAAGATCCAGGAAGAAGCTGCTCAACGGGATCACCGTAAAATTGGACGAGAACAAGAGCTTTTCTTTTTCCATGAATTATCACCTGGATCATGCTTTTTCCAACCAAGAGGAGCGCATATCTACAATACTCTTGTTGACTTTATACGCTCTGAGTATAGAAAGAGAGGTTTTCAGGTTAGAATTAGCTTATTTTTTAAATTTATTTTCATAACGTAATAGTTTTCTGTCAACTAATTGATTTTCCCACAATCGCAGGAGGTTGTGTCGCCGAACATATACAACAGTAAACTATGGCAAACGTCTGGCCACTGGCAGCATTATGCAGAGAACATGTTCTCGTTCGACGTTGAAAAAGAGACCTTTGCACTGAAGCCCATGAATTGCCCAGGTCACTGCATGATCTTTGACGTTCGGAATAGGTAAATGCATGACCTATAAATGTAGATAATTATGTCTCAACAAAAATTTTACGCTGGCGATTTGTATTTCGATTAAAGATCTTGGCGTGAGTTGCCTCTGCGTATGGCAGATTTTGGAGTTCTGCATCGTAACGAGCTTTCCGGAGCTTTGACTGGTCTCACGCGAGTACGTCGTTTTCAACAGGACGACGCTCACATTTTCTGCGCGCCCGAGCAAATCAAAGATGAGATGCTTGCTGCTCTGGATTTCCTAGATCACGTTTACTCCGTATTCGGTTTCACCTTTAACTTATGTCTCTCCACGAGGCCTGAGAAATTCTTGGGTGACGTTGTAGTCTGGGATGCTGCTGAAAAAGCACTTTCACAGAGTTTGGATGCTTTCGGCAAGCCATGGACTCTGAATCCCGGTGACGGTGCTTTCTACGGGCCTAAAATCGATATTACTATTATGGATGCGCTTAAGCGAGCTCATCAATGTGCTACTATTCAATTAGATTTTCAACTGCCGATTAGGTTTAATCTGTATTACGTTAAGTAAGTTGACAAAAAATTTTTTAGATATTTTTGTTTATCTCTATAAAGATTACATTTTATTTTTTATTTCCAGTGAGGCAGGTGAAAAAGTACGTCCTGTGATAATCCATCGTGCAATTCTTGGCTCGGTAGAGCGAATGATTGCCATCCTAACGGAATCGTACGCTGGCAAGTGGCCATTCTGGTTGTCGCCACGTCAAGTGATGGTCGTTCCTGTAGGACCCTCAGTCGATGAGTACGCAGAACAAGTCATGGACAAAATCTATGCGGCTGGTTTCATGGCTGAGGTTGATACTGATCATGGTGATACACTCAATAAGAAGATAAGAAACGCCCAGCTCGCGAAATTCAACTTTATTCTTGGTACATGGGATGGATAATCATTATTATAAAAACTAATTAAGTCTAAAATTTATAATTGAGAAAACTGTGATTTGTTATGAAATTAGCGCGATTGCAAGAAATATGAAATCAATCGATTTAAATACAAATTCGTCAAGGTGCATGTTTTAATTTATTTTCTGTGCGAGTTTCAATATTTATTGCGCACAGATCATTTTGGAAAAGTCAATGCTCGAATGAAAATCCAATAATTTGTTTTTAATTTTTAATTAACGCAATCATTTGCAAAACCAATTTCACTTTTATTTTATTAAACACGACACTTTGATGGTTTATTACAAGAACTTGCAAACATAAAATAATTTTTTTCCAAACCATACTACACATGGTTAACCACATTGATTTGTTCATTTTTAGTGGTCGGTGAAAAGGAGAAAGCTGCTGGTACGGTGAACGTTCGTACGAGAGATAATAAGGTGCACGGAGAGATTGGAACTGAAGATTTGATTAGGAAATTCCAGCACTTCAAACAGACTAAAGATAAGACGTGTGAAGAAAACTTTTAAAGCATCTATATCGCTATTAGACAATTCATACGCTATTGTATTTAATATTTATAAGCATCATTTTTTTCCAATTCAATCACACAGATTCACTAGCTCTAATTTTTTTTTGGTTTCTTTTGTACACGGAATCTACAAATCGAAATAAACTTAATTAAAATACTTCAAATTGTTTCACATTGTTCATTATGGAAATATATATATTTTCGATTGTGATATGAATTTCATGCTTCTTCAATGACAGGACTATAAATAGCGTTTAAAATTAACGTGAAAGGTATACATTGTGATGTGATGTGACTATGTTACTTAAAACTTTTCATAAATCATTTCTTCCATGTCTTTGCATTTATATTTGGTTATAAAATATATGAAATAACAATTGCAAATTATTCCAGCAGGCAAATACAATTAGCATGTAAATTTTATTCTGACGCGATATTGAGTGAATGATTTTTATCACCCTCGAGGCAATCCGCTTTTAATAAATTTTGGAATGAGTAACGGGATCACTGGAACATAGAGACATTCTGAGTGTTTCGGCGAACATCAGATTTATCGACCTATTTGCATACGAAATAAGATTTTATAAACCAGATGTCTGTGTAACATGATCACCAGAATTATTCAATTCGAAGATTTGTAATGGTTTCAACTGTGTTCTAACCCTATAATAATTTGTGATTCATCCTTTTTAAATTAATGAAAAATATATGTGAATAATATAAAAGTAAAAACATTATTTGTAATTGTTAAACAAATTAACAAATTTCGCAGTTAACGTAGCATCAAAAGAATATAAATATCTAAGAACATGCATAAAACTGATCGTACGAATATTATAATCTAATAAATTAAATTGTAAACAATAAAAATAATAATTCCAACGATTCTCATTTCGTCAATGAAAAATTGTTTAAAAAAAGTAAAAAATAATCATCTCATAAGGAGAAAAGTCCCATATGAGTATATCGCAACAACGTGGCTACAAAATTGTAAACCCGAAAGTTCAGTCAAGCTTTCTTCTTCACAGAAAACTGCCTCTGAATCTCAGCAAGAGTCTTTCCCTCAGTCTCCGGCAAAGTCCAATAAAGAACGAGAATCCCAATAAGATTGACAAAAGCGAAAAATAGAAAACTGCCAGCTAGTGTCATTTCATCAAGCATGTAAAGGAATATTTTGCTGGCCAGAGCAGCGTAGATGTTACAAGTTGAACCTACGAGTCCAGTGGCAACACCACGCACGTCGTTTGAAAACACCTCGCCAGCGAGAATCCACGGGATACTTTTTATTCCAAGTGCCGTGGCGACGATTGCTATTACAACTGCTATCGAGGGGATCCAGCTGTAACCCGTTGTCTAAACAACCACGCAAAAGAATGAATTATAGTTTCGTCGCAAAGCTGTCGTAACGAAAAGAGTTCACCTTGAGTTCCATCAGCTTATGATCCCTCAAAAAAGCGCACACAGCCACAAGCAGGACGCTAAGGCCAGCAACTGCCAATGACGCTAAGATCGGTTTTCTTTTTCCAGCTTTTGGCACAATAAACACAAGCAATACCGACGCGATCAATTGCAATCCCGTGAGTATGATCGCCGCGGTGTGATCGTCCACTGGTGAATCGAGTTTGTTGAACATTAGAACAGCGTAGGTCTGCACCGATATACTACCGTTGAAACATCCGATGAAGAATGCAAAGCTGACAATGGCGAAGGGGACGAGCACCGAGCGACGAAAGTAACGCGTCCATGAAGATTCATCGTGATGGCGATGTTTCGCGGTCGACGAGTCGAGAATTGTTTGGAACTCATGGGTGACGCTCGCTGGTGTTGTCCAACCGCGTAACCAGGCCAGAGCACACTGAGCCTCGTCGTGGCGGTTTCGGTCTGCGAAGCGTGAAAACACTGAATTCCGTCGCAAGAGCCGACAAAATACAAGAGCAAAATAGCCTTACTCGCGAGCCAGTATGGACTTTCAGGCACCAAGCAAAGTGCAACGAAAGCCGCCACGGGAAATGCCAGATTAGCCAAAGCCAAAGTTCGCCAGTACATGAAACTGCCAAACAGCACTTGCAAAAATATTCCCAGTAGAATGGTCGCTGAAACCGAGGCCGAAATCGATCCTCTCAATCTCGGCTCGCTGATTTCCGTTACGTAAACTTGAACCGGTGCCTCGACCACTCCACCGGTTGCTCCGAGCATCAGGAATCCAAGGAAGATTGGCCACACGTGTGAGCCGGAGAAACGGAGGAGCAGCCATGAACCGATATATGGGATTGTTGAGATTGTCAAGGTCGTACGGCGACCGAAATAGTGGGATATTGGTCCACTACTAATTGCACCGAGTGGAATGGCAAAGTAGTTGAGGCTACCTGCAACAGAGAGAGAGAGAGAGAGAGAGAGAGAGAGAGAAGGTTATCGGGGCTTTAATTGGCAAACCGTTTCGCACTTATTTTAACGATTAGAAATGATCGCGAATCTTTGAATAGCTTGTTAATTAATTTTTCACGATTATGCACATAGAAAATTGCGTATATATCATTTGTGTAAAACTTGCACGTCTATCTCATGTAACTGCGGTGTGAAAAGCATTAAAATATACGAGTACGCACTGATCCACGTGAGTTCCTCGATAGTCACTATGACCTCTGCGTTCTCTCTGTAGAGTTCGGGTATGAGTATCGTGGAAAAGCCGATGCTCATGCCGAGAGACAATGTCAGAAGACTCGATGCTGCTATTGCGCAAAACTGCGACAGTGTGCGCTTGAATTGCGATTCGCCTTGATGTTGCTGCCGATCATCCATGGCAATTTTTGCTTCTCTGTAATATTTTTTAAGACTTTGTGGGTTTCTTTCTAAATCTGAATTGATGCTCGAATTGAATGGCGATATTTTGATTAATTTTCTGTTTGGCGGTGACGGTTTTTCCTGCGAAGATGATTTCGCGGTTGTATAATACATACGCGATACCAAACATTACTTAAAAATCACGAAGATTTCTTATGAGTCGAGGGAAAAAGACTTAATTAATATGCAATTCTGCAATATGCATTTCTTATTTCAAAAGAAATTTTGCCGATTTAAGAAAATTTTTTCAAGAACTGCAACAAAATTTTATAAATAGCTTATTGTAGTGTATGTAGGCACTTTATTTACCATAACACAGTTTATCTACTTGATAAATTTGGTAGTGTAAATGCTAGTCCTCTTAAAATAGGGAAAAGCTATTATTTTTACATCGTTTCTAGTTACAAAACTTTTTCTGTTATCAAGTCTTATCTTGCTAAATTATATAGCCATTAAATAGGTGGCTGTCTTAAAGTACTTTTCGAGCAGCAAACAATAATAATACCCTTGGATTATCAAGATTAAAAATGAATTATTCTTCTAAAGACAAAAAGGATTTTGTAATATAATTGCATATTGGATATTAGTTGGATATTAGTCATAAGAGCGTTGTGAAAATATTCGCTCATGAGACCAGTTATTAATAGTACTGATGACTTACAGACATTTCAAAATTATTCGCCACGACGAGTTTATTGTGGGATTATTCTTACCGGCGACAAAGATTTTCTTCAAATCGATTGCAATGAGAATAGAATTTATTCTATGTTGATAGGTGTTAAAACAATAATAGTCTTTTTTATAAAGTGAGAATTGAATTTTGAAAGAAGAGAATCGAACTTAAAACAATAAATAATTGAAGCTTGCGATAAAATTGCATTTCGCATATTTCAGAACACTACTTCCGATATGGATTTTTCGTTTTAGCTGATAGACTTTTACTTTTTAAAATAATTATGTAATGACGTAAATGCCGTATTCATTTACGTTACACATGCTTTTAAAATGTGCAGTGATTTACAATTAACTTGGGGCGTTTGAGTGAACCATGAATGCTGTTCATGGTCGCATGAATGTAAAATTTAAAATATTGCATCGTAACCACTCAAGATGCACGGATGTAAAAGTTTCTCGTTACTCAAACAATTGATTATTAGTAGAAAATAAAAAAGTTAGCTAAGCAAAAGCATCGATTTTGAGCTTTTTATATCGACAAAATAATTATTTTTACACAAATCATTTTCGTTTCTCCTCGGCTGAATTTATTCAGTATGCTACGTCCCCGAAGGTAAACGATAATCGCAACTTACTTTGGCGGATTCACCGGACGTTCTTCAGTATTTTCCATAGTTTGAGCACTTTGTAAATAAAGGTGAACAAATTTAAAGCGCGCTCAAGTTTCCGTTGCAAAATAATTAAAATGTCAAATTGAGCCAATGACGAGATAGTCGAGGCTTGAAAGTATCATTTTGAAATAAACGCAGGCAGCTATAGGAAGTAAACTCTTTTTCTTCTTGCGACGCGGTAACGAGACTCCCTGACTAATTCAATTTCCAGTGTGGAGGTAAAGTGGCAGGTGTAGTAGAGGGAGAGTTACTGGAGACAGAGAGGAGGGGGTTTGGGGAAGTTAAAAATTCTCGCGTACCGTATTACAATAATCTCACGGATAAAATAACAATATACTCTCGATGCATTATGTTAATGGCTTCAACAAAACGCCAATCAAATCTTTATCGAAGATTACGCGGTACATCGAAGTTGTTGGGACTCATTGATTTCTTTTAACATGTACGATCTAATTCTAAATAAAAAATACAAAGTAACTAAAACTTTATCATGTTTAATTATCACGGATCTAGATTTTACAGCTTACAAACAATTGTTAATTTATCTGTTGAAATTATATTAATAAAATTAATTTAATAAAACACTATATACTAATCTAATTTAATAATTTAAATGCTTTCTAAATTTTCTTGTACTTATATGAATCAATTGGTAACAATCAAGTGAACTGAAGGAATGAAGTGCAATAGATTATAAATTATAAATCATGAATTCATTGAAAAAAAATGATTGCCCAACATTACATGTCAAAGTATTTGTTATTGCATGTTGAATAACTAGAAATAATAGAGCTTAAATTAATAAGTGAAATGAACAGAAAGTTACAAAAATAATGCATATATCATATTTATTCTTACATCTGGAAATATTTACATGTAATTGGATTTGTCAAACTTGTTTGAAATGAAAATAAAGTATATATAAAGAGTAATTTATTATAGTGTATTGTACACGTATGAAAGAAAAATCTTTAAAAGAGCAGAAATGAAGATAAAGTTACAAAATAGTTTTACAATTAATACTAACCACAGTGTAACTGTTAAACAGATAACGCAATTTTTTCTCTGATACTTTATCATATCTGCTTGAACTTGGAAATCACATACAAAAATATTTGATGGCAAAATTGGGCTAACGACCATACCTAAAAATGATAAAAGTAAAATTTATTAAATCAACTTTATAGTTACTAAAAATGTTTAGTAATAATAAAAATTTTGTTTGTGTAACTTACTTCTGAAACTCCCATTCACGATTGTCAAGAGGGCAGACTTGCCTGGTTTTTAGCCATCGAGATATGCAGTGGAAATGGAATGCATGCTGTAAATTACATTACACGTAATCAAAAACACAAAAATGGCAATAACAGAACTAATCAGATGAAAATTTTCAAGTATGGATAATATTTGGAATCATATTGCCAATTCAAATTTACATTGCATACACCCCAGGCAACGGTGCACTCCTCACTGGTGGCAGAAGCTTGGTTAGCTTGGCATTCGATGCAGAGGTCCATGATGTGATTACGACAAATAGCGCAGTTATCAACAACAATATCTAAAAAATGATAAAGAGAAATCACAGTTTGCTACAGGTTAGATTCTACAATTTCCACTTATACGTCATCTTATACAAATTGTTGATTCGACTTACCCCAAGCCCAAAGAGCAACAGCATTCCACTAAAATCAACGTATAAAGTCGATCAAATATTGTTGACAAGGCAAAATTTCCAAAAGACATGGCGTAACAAAACAAAATGATGATTGGATTAAAGAGACGGACATGTAAACAAATAACTGTAACGTATCTTACCTTTTTCACTTCAAAACGTTTCTTTTCTCCTTTAGCATTACTCGAAGTCGGCATTTCAACCTCTTCTTCCTCTACATCCATTGATGATGATGCCATTGTCACTTGAAATTTTGTTAAAACAAAAAAACAATGTATCGCAGTTTCTAAGAAACGAGAGAAGAGTAACGAATGCAAGCGGATAAGTGTGGCAGTCAGTTCGGAAAATTCGCACAGCCGGCGTCAACGACGATTGTCGACGATAATCCAAAAGTTATGGCCGGACGTGAGCAACTAGCCATTCGATAAGACTGGCGGGAAATTAAGAAATTAACAACTGTTTTTAATTATTCGTTATTCACTTTATAAAATAATAAATCTTGCTTTTATCATAAATAATTTTGAGTCCAAATTAAAGAAACGCAAGTTTGAAACCGTATTTCAATAGCTTAAGCAGAAAAATGTTATCTAAAAAATGGCAGATAGCGTTGATTTCGAAATTGAAAAATAGATAGAGAACGCGGAGAGCATTTTCGCCGCGTTTTGGATCTTCGCGGCCCTACGAGTCGAATCCTGCATGTTGCGACACATGGCAAGCTTAACCAGGTTTTTAATGTTGTCCACACGTGTTTAATCTAATTAATTGCTGCTTTGTCGTGTCCTTTTTGTGTAAGTAATTACATCGATTTCGCTCTTTTACTTTGATCTTTCATTTTGCTTTGGCCATCAGCATATTCTCGCATAGTATCTCACAATTGTTGGTGTTCAAATTGAAGTAGAATAATTTTTTATGATGTTAAATTCACAGTATTATTAATTATTCATGGATCATGTACTGTTGTTAATTTATGATATTGATTTTTGATTATCTGTATTTTCTCTTGCGTAAATAAATAAGTCAATAAAGTTTCCAAGAAATTTACAGATTAAATTGTTTTGCTCAGTGTTCTAGAATGTATCATGATTATTCAAGACTTACATGCTTGATTTTCATATTTATAATATATTTTCTTAGCTATACATATCACAAATTTGGAGTAAGATATTATGAATAAAGTTTAATGCATAAAAATAGATTTTTGTTACACAATTAGCTGTTACATCATATTTTTGATATTGATTACAATTCCCTTCTCTTTACTTTATTTTATCTGATATTTAGTAATGGTACTATTTGTATAAAAATTATGTTCACTTTGACATGTGTACATTGTGTGAAACACTGTACCCTATATTATTTGTTTCATTTTGTTTCATTTCACTCCAATATTGAGTTTTTGATTAATTAAAATTAAAAGTATTATTTCTTATCTTATTTTATTTATTTCTAATAAAATTTTATTTCTGATAAAATTGTTATTATTATTCCAGATAAAGTTTTGCAAAATTAGTTATCATTTAAAATGGCCAAAAAAACTGTTATAGAAAATTGTAAACCAGGAGAAGACAAAGTGCATATGAAAAAGGAGCTTGGATTATTGGAAGGAGTAGCAATAATTTTAGGAATCATATTTGGTTCAGGTATACCATAATTTATTTATATCTGATTGCTTATTTAGGCTACTTTGAGCTATTTTTACCAATGCCTAATTATCAATACAAGTGTAAGATTGAAGGCATAAATTTAAGTGAATATTTGTTTCAGGAATTTTTATTTCTCCAAAAGGAGTCATACAAGAAGTAAACAGTGTTGGTGTATCTTTGATTATCTGGGTACTATGTGGATTACTATCAATGGTTGGTGCTTTGTGTTATGCAGAGCTGGGTACAAGTATACCTCGTAGTGGTGGAGATTATGCCTACATACATGAATCATTTGGTAACTTGGCAGCATTTTTGTATCTTTGGGCAGCAAACTTGATTTTTGTGTAAGTGTTCCAATAAAACCATAAAGTATTTGATATTTAGAATCACTTAAATAAAAATTTGAATCGGTTTACAGGCCAACGACAAATGCAATAATGGGTTTAACTTTTGCTCAGTATGTATTACAGCCATTCTTTACTAATTGTAATATTCCTGATGAAGCTATTAGATTATTAGCTGCTGTAACAATATGTAATTTTTAATAGTAAACCCTAATGTAAATAAGTCTAATCAGAGTATAATCTTATGTAATAATTCTTATATAGGTTTCTTAACTTTCATCAACTGCTATGACGTGAAAGAGACATCGAAAATGCAAAATATTTTTATGTTTGCTAAAGTTGGTGCTTTAGTAATAATTATTTTGGCAGGCTTAACTTGGCTGTTTATGGGTAAGTGAAACTGAAGTATTTATGCATTATTATTTCAAAAATAGAAGCATTAAAGAATTGATTTCAAGGTAATACTGAAAATTTTCAAAATGCATTTGAGAATACAAATGCCACTCCAGGCAAAGTGGCTGTAGCATTTTACTCTGGAATATTCTCATACTCCGGTTGGAACTACTTGAATTTTATGACTGAAGAGTTGAAAAATCCTTATGTGTAATCATTCCATAATTCAGTGTGGTTATGAAATTTTTTTGAAATTTAAATCACCATATTTTTCATTTTTAGCAATTTACCACGTGCCATTTACATATCTCTGCCACTGGTAACTTTAATTTATGTGTTAGCTAATGTTGCTTATTTAGCTGTTCTGACTCCAACTGCTATAATTGCATCAAATGCCATAGCAGTTGTAAGTTGAATTAAAAAAGTTTTATATATAAACAAATTTTTATATAAGTTGAATTATAAAAATATGAAGTAAATAATGTATATATTTTTTAATAGACTTTTGGAGATAAGCTATTGGGTTATATATCGTGGATTATTCCAGTGATGGTTGCAATTTCTGCTTTTGGAGGACTTAGTGTGCATATAATGACTTCCTCAAGAATGTGCTTTGTTGGTGCGAGGAATGGACATTTCCCGGCAATGCTTAGTCATATTAACATCAATAAATATACTCCAACTCCGGCTTTAGTATTTTTGGTAAATATAAAATGAATTTTTTATTCTCAATTTTCATTCAACAATAACTAATGATTTTTTTCTAACTTTTTCTCAGTGCATTCTATCTCTGATTATGTTATGTACCAGCAATATATTTATCCTTATAACATATTGTAGTATAGTAGAGTCAACATTTATTATGCTTTCTGTTGCTGGAATTTTGTATTTACGGTACAAAAGGCCTGATATGAATAGACCTATTAAGGTTTGTAGAAAGATTGAACAGTTATATTCAAAGTGGATTAAATATAGAATATATAATTTGTCATCATTTTCTTTGTAATTTTTAGGTGTCTCTTTGGGTTCCTATATCTTTTGTAATAATTTGTGCTTTTCTGGTGCTAGTTCCATGCTATGAAAAGCCATTTGAAGTGGGAATGGGAGTTATTATAACTTTATCTGGTATTCCCGCGTATTTAATTGGAGTTGCTTGGAAGAACAAACCATCAGAGTTTCAAGAGTTCAACGGTAAACCATCTTTTGAGAATGCAAATTATTACATTTATATGAGTTATAATCAATCAAATTTTTTTTAGTTAAAGTTACACATGCTGTCCAGAAGTTGTTCATGTCCGCTAAAGAAGAACGGGATGATTTTAATTAAATGTGTACATCACGATTTGCACAATTTGCTTACATTATATAAAGAATATTTCACTGCTTTACAACAGACTGGTTAGAAGATAAGGTTCTGTTTCTGAAGTACATATCTACAAGTGAGTCACTTTTATAATATTGAAATAGAAAGTAGCTATAACTTTATAAAAACGAAGTTATAGCTTACTTATTTGAGTACAAAGAAGCTAGTTTTACATCATCTTGAATCATGGATAGATTTTCTTGCGTAACCTATTTAGTTTCATTTTTTGCTAAAAGTGAATATTCTTTTTATTAAATATAAACGAATGTTGGTATTCATAGTAAATTTCTTTTAAAACAATGAAATGGATGTGGAATTTTTCAGTACTACTACATTAGGTATATAATGTAGAAATAATGTATTAATGAATGAACCATAAATTTTCACACGCGCGCGCGCGCGTGTGTGTGTCTGTGTGTGTCTCTGTGTGTGTGTGTGTGTGTGTGTGTGTGTGTGTGTGTGTATAACAGAAGTACAGATACAGATCAGTGAAAATATAAATGATATACTTTTTATTCATGAGAAGAATTCTAATCAAGGTAGTTATCTAAATAAATTAAAATTTTGTATCTTCCTAAATTCTAGTAAATTGTATATTTTATATTTTTGTTGCACAAATGATTAATACATTAAAACATTTATATAAAGAATGCATTTTGTAACTTTTCTTTTAAGTTCATACATATACGTGTCAGAATTAAAGTTAGTACCATAATTTTCATATAAAATAAAACTAGTCTTCAATGTTGAAATAAGAAAAAGATTTTTCAAATGAAATAGTCAATGATCTGATATTCTACACAAAAGTATATTAGTCATTTAATTACATATATAACAAATTTACTGTGTATTTCTATGTTTATATACTAAATATATGTACACATCTAGCTTTTCATTTAAAATTGCTGGACTGTGATATAATGTTATCGAATGATCTATTGAATGTAAGATAAGCGTGTTGAGTGTTTTGTGAGTTGAATTTATTGATTCAAAACTCAAATTGTAATTAAGATAATTTCAAAAATTGAAACTTTAATCTGAAAACTCATTAATAGGGTAATTATTGTAAGCTTGGGTATGAAAACTAAAATTGACAATGTTATTAAAAATGAAAAAAAGATCAATTTAAATTTGATCTTTTTTTCGATTGTGTGAAAACTAAAATAGACAATTAGGTTATTAAAAATGAAAAAACGATCAAATTTAATTATTAACTAATTTAATTTAATTACTATCTAAGCAAATAGTATTATTACTGTACATACGTCACATCAATGTTATTGAAAGGATTTTCTATTCTAGCGACTCATTTCTATAGTGATGTCGTGCCTTATACGTATTTTTTGTATAAATAAAATTTCAGTGACTGTACATCAAAATCTGTTTTATTTTTTACAATACAAACAATGTATCTCATTTTTTTCCGACTTTTTCGGCACCTATTTGAATATTAGACGCGAGTTCAGCCGTGCCAATACAGAAAATATGTGGCGGAATGTTGTACACACATAACATTTCAACAATACTGTACGATAATACAACGAGATATAATAATTAAGCTAATAAATATTGCAATTCTTATAATTTCAATTCATAGGAAATTAAGATAATAAAATTCCATTTTAAGGATCAGCAGTTAGTGAATATCTTCAGGATTAAACATACCCTGAAAAATTTATACATTGATTAAGCATTGATACTATTAATGAAAGCTATTTGTTAGAATAAACTTTATAGACTATCTTACCTTAGCACGTCGCAGAATAGAATCTTTACTAGCATCATAGGGATGATCTTTACTTGGGATTTCCAATACTGCAGGAATTGGCTGTGTATGGCTGTCGATAACATGTCGAATCATCTCTGCAATCTGAGCATACAATCAATAGAGATTATTAGAACTTTCTGATAATTAAATTTTTCCACTATAATCTTATATGAATAATTTATTTTCATTAATGTTCTAGCTCTACAATTATTAAAAGTTAATGCTGCTTTTCAAAACATTAATACTCACATTTTGGTTGATGAGAATGATATCAATGTCATCTCGTTTGATGAATCTTTTGAATGTCTCCTCAATATCACCAACTGCTGTATCTGAAATTTTGAAAGAAAAACATTGTTATCATTAAACTTGATAGGTAAAGTTCTCTTAACTAGTGGTGTACTCATAATCATTCATTTTAGCTTACTTTTGTCAATAACCATAAAGTTTGGATGACGGTTCTTGTTGATTTCCCCTACACCACCCAGTAGGAATCCCACACAGGTATCCTATATGGTTCATAAATAAAATTTGGTAAAATTAAAAGTGCCAAACTATAGCTCACAATAATCAGCATTAGAAGTTTTCTTTCTCTAAGTCGTCTTTCCCTAAGAATATTATTTTCGATGTTGTATTACCTCGTCACCAATGACGGCTAACAGTTTTCCCTTTCCAGCGGAATGCATCGACATTTTTGTTGTTGATTGATTTTTGTCTTAACAACAAAAGTTGTTGCAGGATAAGGCAAAAAAACGGACTTTACTTTAGAGCAGATCTTGTGTCTTGTGATCGACCAACTAAATCAGCTGACCTCGTTCGTCACGCCTAACCGTAAGGCTAGTTTTACTGTGAATGGTTACGTTTCTATGAAGACGCATTTGTAGGTTGGGTACGATAGGTGTTAAGACATCATCGTTATATTCAATATTTACGTAAAAAAAATATATTGTTATAAACATTCTTGTGTAAGTAATTACTAAAAACTTATTAGTCAAACATCATAACTAATTACGTTAAATAACCTAAATTTGTATATAATTTAGTTTAACGGCTATTACTTGCACAATTCAATGGTATAAAAAAAGGAAAAAACTTTTTAAATTTTTATTAGATTTCAATTATACCACTCATATTAAAAGTTTAATTTACATATTTATTAACTATTTGACAAAATTACAGCTTCAAACTATGGCTGATTATTTTCAAGAAATGGGCTGGGTTCCTTTAGCAGAGTTTGAAGGACCTAATCATTTAGTGCAAATGGCAAGGTTTTTGAGAGATTCTGGTATGTGGGATCTTTTAGACAATCATGAGAGACTACCACCACCAGCTTCTAAAGAAGCTGTCAAAAACTTGGAAGAAGTAGAGCATAAAAATGAAGCTGGTAGGAGTGATACAATTATTTATACTTTTGTTTTATATTGGCTAATGATGAACCATTAAATTTTTTAGGTGCTAAAGAACAATGTCCAGTTTGTTTGATAGATTTTGAGAAGGGTATTATCTCTAAACGTATGCCATGCAAACATTCTTTTCATAAAGAATGCATTGAACCTTGGCTAGAAAAGGTAGATTAAAATAATCTTCTAAGTATCTGGAGTAAATGGATCATAGATTTATAGGTTGATTTTTTTTAGACAAACTCTTGCCCTGTATGCAGACATGAGTTACCTACCGATGATGAAAATTATGAAAATTACAGGAAAGAAAAGAAAAGGGCTGTTGAAAGAGAAAAGGATTTAGAAGCTCTACATGATTCAATGTTTTCATAGTACATTGCTTTTATTATAATAAAATTACATTCCTGTTTATTTGAAATTTATGTATGTTTTTATAAGAGTTTAGTATTTTAATAGATTCATTAGTTAAAAATTTGCAAGTAGTATCAAGAATACAATGCGTTCTGTGACTTTCTGTATGTAGATGCATGGAAACAAACTATCAAGTGCAATTAAGTAAACTTCTAATGACTAGCCAGTTGTATTATAAAGATATAAATTAAATCACATGGAAAAAATTCGATACTATACCTGACTAATCATTACCATCATGATATAAAAATGAATTGTTAAAAGATATGCTTGTTTGTTGATGTAAAATGTATCTAGATGTCTATAAATTGAACAATCAAAAGTGGTGTTGGAAATCTTCCAAGATCATAAGTGTGAGTTTATATGCATACCATCCAAAATTTCTTACCGACGTCGCTAGACCATCCATTTATAAATTCTTTCACGCATGAACATTTTAAAAGTATTTGTTAATTCTGATGACGTCTGTCAAATCGTCTGATATACGCTGCCATTTCGATCGTTTTAATTAATTACTCATTGGTTAGTTCTTATGCACTAAGCTGTTGATGAGCAAACGTAAAGCACTATATGCATAATTTCCAAATAACAAGATACACAATGTTTCACCAAGACCGAATTTTCGTACGTATGAATGAACGACATAAAAATTCGCGTCATCAAAAAAATATCGAATCACATTGTACGCCTTGGCAAACTACTTGGCGCATTATAATATACACGAAATTCTGGCGTTCTTCGAAGTGCGCAAGCTGCCGGGCTGCATAAAGCAATCGATCGTCGATCGTTGGTGGTCAGTCTGTGCTCGCGACTCGTAATAGTAGCGCGTGTGTGTGCCTGCGCGCCTGCAAAGACAATGCTAACATCGTGTTGGCAAGCGCCGGAAAAATGTTTTTGTATTAATAGAATAGTGCGATAATGACGACGACGATCGTTAGGATTGCTCTGTTTATCGCGACCACCACGGTCCTTGGCGAGGCCTCACTTTATTCATCGTCCCTTACTGCTTCGTCGACAGGTGCTTTTGTCGAGAGTGGGTGTCGTTCGGGGATGATTTCTTTAGAATGCCGATAGCTTTGTTTAGTGCTTGCTCGAATGACGGTTGTCAGCGAGTCAAGTTTGCTTTAAACCAACGATTTAGAGCACACAGTGTTGTTAATTTTCCAAATGCAGCAGCTCGATCGAAGGAAGCAATCAGCGAGAAGTAATAACTTATTCGTAAATCGTTGCCGCGAGTTGGAAATTCTCAAAGCTAAGGACCGGTTTCAATGGAAACTTGAGGTTATTCTTATCACTCGCAATGCAGCAAGTACCTAATCGTACATTGACAAATGTTAAACTAATTCGAGACTTCAAAGTTGGCTCGCTCTCAATCGATCGCTTGCAAAAAAGCGACGAAATATCGTTGCCTTGGCTAAAAACCCACCGAACATCCAATTACAGTAGTAAAAAATAATCGATCTAAAAAAAGAGCTCCTCAGAGCAAAAAGTTTCACCCGATCCGTTTTCATTGTTGACCAGATGTGAATATGAATCCATGCGAGAACTTTTACACGTACGCGTGCGAGAGCCAGTACAAAAAGCCAGATGGCTCGATATCGGGTTTCAGATCTCTCGTCGCCGAGGCCCAAGACAACGTCATTGCCAAATTGAAAGGCAAGTAGTCGCATTGTCTCTTTCTCTCCCACTCTCTCAAGATATTTCGCAATATCGCACACGCACACGCGGACGATTAATCAGCCTTTAGCCGATTGATTCTCTCTTGTAGCTATCTTAGAGGACGACGATTTCCCAAACGTTTATTCAATCAAGATCGCCAGGAGCTTTTACTCGGCTTGTATGGACACAGGTATTTGTTTTTAGTTTTCGCTACTAAAATGTGCCACCGCTGTCGTATGGTAGATTATAGCTCGGTGCGCGGTCTCTCAGCGCGATTGCAAATTAGAGCTTAGCGTGCACGTACAAAGATGCATGTGGTTATTTTAAGCGACGGGGCGCGCGCCCTTTCGGAGACACGTGCTTTTTCCAAGGGCATCTGGCGAACGACTCAAGGGACATTGGGTTAGGCATTGTCAGAAATTAATTGCTAGCGTCTTGCTGAGAGTAGCCAACAAACGTGCCGCGCGCATTGTTGCACTGTCGTTCGGTGTCAGATGCCCTGCCGAGGCGCCCGCTCCTTTCACGGTCAATGATGAAAAATCGAATCCGATAATTTGCATGCCATGGCACTACGCTCAGAGCAAATCGACGCGCAAGGTGTGAAGCCAATCTGGTCGATACTAAAGGAGCTTCGCGGCTGGCCGATAACCAGGAAATATTCCGAGAGCGACAGCATCGCTAACTGGCAGGACTTGCACTCGTTCTACGGCAAGATCAACGTGTTCCCCCTGTTCGAGATTTCCGTCAACAACGACGCTCTGCGCCGCACACACAGCATCCTGGTATAAATAAAATCGGATTTGCTGCCCTGAACTGCTCTGTCTATGCGCGTGCAATTGACTTGCAGTTACGCCAGCCAAAGACGATTATCCGAGAGCCATTTCTCTATCAAGCGAAGACGTTCTACAAGTACGTGGATTACATCAAGACAGTGGCCATGACGGTCGCCAATGCGAGCGACTCGGCGGTGTCGGAGGACGAAGTTACTGCGCAGGCTAAGCAGATCGCCGCGTTCGAGGCTGAATTGTCGAAAGTATATATAGACAACCTGGCAAATGAAATTTCGATAGGGCAATCAGTGAGATCGATCGCTTCGTTTTTAGATGCTGGAGGCGAACGATCGATTGGAGCTTTACAAGCCAACGTTTCTTCAAAAGTTGCAGAACACCACGAATTATTTACTGAGGAATCGAGATTACACTGTGAGGGCTTTCGATAGTTCGCTTCGGGATCGATGCTTACTTTCGCGCCTTATTCCTTTCAGTGGAATTGGACCGAGATCATCAACGCAGTTTACCACGCTAAATTGGTGCATTACAACGACGCCGTGGACATCGCGACGTACAGCTACTTTCCGCGGTTGGTGGAGCTCTTGCACAGAATACCAATGCGGACAGTGGGTAAGCGTTCGACTGGCGCTTCGAACTCAAGTATCTGTGAATTCTGCTTAATACCTCTGGCTGGCAGTTAATTACATACACTGGAAATTCGTGCACGTGCATCTGCCGCACACGAGCACCGACATGCGGACTTTGTTCTTCGGCATGAAGAATTTTATGTGCGAGCCCGTGAAGAATGTGTCGAGGTATGATTAATCAAGCGTTTGGCTTAAATGATATAAGACGGGATACTTTGGCATCGCAGATGGAAATTTTGTGGCTTCGAGCCGTCGCTTGATCCTGTATTGTCTTACGCTTTCGCGAAGAAATATACATCGGCGAAGACTGACAAAGCTGTAAGTGTCGTGCGATCGAGTGCTTTTTTGAGCTTGAAAGTTGCCTTTTCGTAGGTACAGCGTGTTTTGAACGATGTGAAACAAGCGACGTTGAGGAAGATTAAACGTTCGTTTTTACTGAACGAGGATGAGAAAAGAATAGCCGAGCGCAAAGTATTGAGCATGAATTTCGTCCTTGGCGTTCCAGAGCCGTTCAAGAATTTATCCGTAGTCAACGGTTATTACAAAAAGGTGAGCTGCAAATTGCATTTACGAGCGCCGAAGAAAAACATGCTGGGATGATGTTTCAGTTGACGATTTCGAAGAATTATTTCGACAGCGTGCTGACTTTACGCAAATTTTTTAAAATCAAAGAGTTGGATGTGATCGTTGATGGCAAACGCACGTTCTCGTAAGGACTTCCTGAAAGATTCTCGTGGTATCTTGCATTGGCAAAGTTAAACAAACTACTTTTTTGCACAGGGCTAACAATAATTTTTTGAGGATCGCTACCATCAGCAGTCTCGGCTCGGCTTATGAATTTTTCGATAATCGCGTTCGTAAGAAACAATTTACATTATCTATACTCTGCGCTGCAGCCACATATCGTTGTCTTACTATGGCAATCGACTGTTTCTTTCCAGTGATCAAAGCTGAAAATCTCATGCCTCCATTGTTCGATGCTGACTATCCCGAGTAAGTGAAATGATTGAATTTAATGCATGAATTTAAACATTCATGCTTTCCTTTTTCGTGTGCGTAGGTACAAAAAGTACGGCATATTGGGCTTCATAATTGCCTACGAAATAATGCACGCGTTCAATGATGCAGGTGACTGAACTTCAAAATACAGTGTCGTCGAGTAGAATTGATTTATTGATTTTGTTGCACTCGCAGACTCGATTGGAGGCACCAAATCACGTGGGGATTTGTACTCCGAGGAAACCAAGTTAAAGTACTGGAATAAAATGGAGTGTTTTATCAATCAATACGACAACTACTACATTCCGGATCCATTCGACTCACAGAAACACGTCTATGTAAGCATTAAAAAAAATTATCAGGCTGCGTTTTTACTTTTTTAACGAGAAAACATACATAATTGCAAGGTCGACGGCGACAGATCAGCAATGGAAAACATGGCAGACTCGGCGGCAATTCAAATATCGTTCCAAGCTTTTCTCGACAGAGCGCGAAAACTCGGAGTCTCGTCATTGGAGGACGACGAGGACTTTTTCGCCTCGTTCGCTGCGGTAAGTCCATTTCGCAGAAGGAACAAAGAAAAAATTTTACCGCGCATAATTACAAAGTTATGTGAATGTTCTGAAAAGAGAGGGCACGAATTTTTTTCTCTTCGTTACAGCTACTCTGCAGACCCGAGCTGGAGGAATTTTATTTGAGCCGTTTCAACTTGGCATTACGAACTTTGCCGCGATTCCGTGTCATTGGATCTCTATCGAATACTAATGAATTCGCTAAAACGTTTTCCTGCTCCAGCGGCGCCCGAATGAATCCCGAAATAAAGTGTAACTTTTGGAATTGAATGCCGCCACCGAAGCGAACTCTTCTATCCTATCTACCCTCCCTTCGACGAATTCATCTTCTTTCTCTTGAATGCCTCGATCAAAAATTAATATTTCTATCGAGGACCGATTGTACGCAGCTTTCCAGCGACCAACGTGCATGTGATTGCTGAATAGGCGTTATTGGAAATTAATTGTAATATAGACAATTGGCTGATTGGAAAAATCTGAAAATATATTTTACCACCGTGCACTCTAGGACTGAAAATAAAATATTGCTTTGACTTTTTTATTCGATAGTAAAGCCAAGGAGTCCCTCGCACAACGTCACTCTCAAGCCAACTGCAAAAAAAGAAAAATACTGCGTGAGAAGTCATAAAAAGGTATACGTGCTATTGCCGGACGCACACACACGCAGTCCGTAAAAATCAGCGGATCGATTGGTAGTTTCTCTCCTACCCGTAAGGCCATTTCTGCGATTGATACGCGCTGACCAAACTTTATACCTTTTGCGCGTGTGCGATTCAAATTTCGCTCGTAAGCGCTTTCGCGTGACGTATCTTTCTTTTTGTGCACACAATCGACTGGTTTTTGTTTGTAAGAGTAGAGTCACAAGTTTTGGCACGCTGTCAATAAAAAGGCTGATCGTGTGCCGTATAGACGTTGGCTTAACATTCGGCGGGAATGTGATTCGAAGTATTTATTGACACGTTGCTGCGGCTGAAATGCAATGAAATTTCTGTTTGTGGTTACTTAAAGGTTGAGTCTTGGCAAGGAGTGAAATGTAATTTATGTTTTGGCAATTCGCGTGTTACTTTTTCACGTAGTCATTTTATAATATGATGTAGTGTATTTGTGTCGTAGTCGATAGTTTGATTAAAATTTTGGATTTTTTTTACCGTCAATTTTTATTCTACAAGCAATAGGTGCTCCAAAATGTTCTTATGATCAATTTTATAATGTATTCTATGCAATACGTGTGTCTATGTGTGTGTATATTTGTACTGTATAGGATAATGAGCTGCTAATTAGTTTCATCGTGGCTGGACATTTTTCACAATGACATTTCATTTCACTCTATTCTACTAATAATCCACTTTGATCAAATGCAGTCGCGCCTATAGTTTGCTACGCATACGTGAATCAAAACCCGGTGAGCTATTTAAGCGTGCTCATTTTTTTTAAAAGCCATATAGTCTATCTATTATGCGCAAAAGTGGTGCAACGATAGCTTAACAACTCTGACTGGCCTGAAGGCTCTCAGAGTCAACCTTAGTAACTAGGAAATCGAAGTGATTTTTGCATCCGCAGAGGAGCGAGTAGTCGATGCATTATCGCCGGCTGATTGCGCGCACCGATTTGAGTTAAGTGACTGCTCTGCGAGAGCAGAGTCGAATTATTTCCTGCGCTCGCTAACGACCAATTTCCTCGGTGAATTGCTTCCGGACGACGACGACATCGAAGAAAATTATTTAACCAAGTACGTGAATGCGCGCGCGCGCGCGTGTGTAGGTGCGACGAAAGAAGTTGAGACACTGGCAAATGACGTCATTAGCAGTTTGAACGAGCAAAGTGCTGACGCGACAGTCATCGTCGTTGCGGGGGTCCATGCGTCGTTTTCTCACTGCCCTTTTTTTTGCTCACGGTTGCCACGGTGGATACTTTTCGGCGAATGATATATATTTCTCTGACGTTGGACAACGTAAAGAGAACGAACATCGTATCCAGAAGTAAGTAGAATAATCGCGACATGGTCAGCCTAAGATGCGACAGTGACAAAACATAAAGCTTGTGTGAATCTTTATGATCATAAACGTTTAAATCTTACAGTAGAATCGAGATCAGCGAGGCGCTGTAACCAAGGTAATTGCTCGACATGCAGATCTTGCAGTCATGTATATATGGTAATGTTGGTGGGTGTTCCCCCTCTTGGTTGGTCTGACTATCAAACCACCTTCTCTCCACCTCCTCCATTCGAATTTCGGAAGTGCATTGCGGCTGTTACGCGCTGCATTCATAAGAGAGATGTTTGAAACGTTGTAAACGTACGTATAAGATTTGATAGTGGCATGGAAGGACGATATGAAATTCCAATGTTGTGCTTTCGTTGGACATACAGTTGAAACAGCGTATGAGTTTTTATATGGCTCATGAATTACGTCGATGGGCTTTTTTTTATTTTGCATGGTTTCTGTTCTCATTAGAAGGCAGATTACGAGTTTGATCCGAGCGTGAAATTGCAATGAAAAATATGACATTTGTGAAATTTAAGCGAAGATGGGAAATTGTAAAATGCTATTATGACGTCAGTGACTATCGCTGATATAAATATTCACCGACAGAGATAAGCCAACGTCGATTGAAAAACCTTTAGAAAACTAATCCTCAAATGAAAAGACAGCAAAGAAAAACTAAAACGCGTAAATCTCAGATAAGCCCATAAAAAGCTCTCAACGTAAATTCGGTCTCAGCGATACACTTCCTCGACGGGGTAGGAAGAAGGGGGAGAGAGAGAGAGAGGCAGCGGTGCGAATTATCGACTGTTGTGTCAGCGCTTTACGACCACGTCATCCATTAAACAGGGTTCCGTCGTAATCTTGCGAAGCTAGAGAGAGAGAGAGAGAGAGAGAGAGAGAGAGAGAGAGAGAGAGAGAGAGAGAGAGAGAGAGAGAGAGAAAGCAGAGAATATTACGAGCGTGACCGTTTTAACGAGCGAGTCGCCTCATTGCCGATCGCCTCACTGCTCGATTCATGAGTGATGCTATGGAAATGCTGCTACTGCCGACTATTTCGACTATTTCGCATTGTATTTAGTAATGTCATCTTTCGATGTATAGGCGATTTTGCGCATCTATCTCAGACTATAGCATATACTTAATGTAGGAGCTAGTTTGATTGTCTATAGATAATCTGTCGATTGGAGTTTACTAGTAGTTTGTCGCAGCTAACTTTCTAACTGTAATTGCTTTTGTCTGGCTTTTTCTCTTGTATAACAATTTTCTGTACAATTGTTTGTGGGACTAGTTAGTTTGAGGCATTCACATGATAAAATGATAATGTAGTGGTGGAAGGCGTTTATCACAAACGAAACAAATTTAATTGTGGGACCATTAATTTTTATTGTATAATCCAATGTTATCCATTATGACGTCAATTACTTAATCAAAAAAGCCAAAAATATATGACATTCTTAATTAAAATGCTTTGTCCTTCGTAATTACAAATTCAAATCTGTCAGTGTAACTTTTTCTTTGTTCATCATGCAGTCCATGATTTTAGTGGCAGTTTCACATTTGTCCTTTCCGCCTTCAACATTAAAAATTATGATTGTCATATTCCTAAACTAATTTGATATGCTCAAGATAATATTACAAACTACACTTACTCATAGTTTTACACTCGTCAGCATGTGGTACCGTCATAAACTTATCAGTCATTTTTCCTTCGTCGTCTATCTGAATTATTAAATTTAAAAAAATGATTAGACCGAAATTATGCATTTATGTAATAGATGAAGTAATTAAAAATATAGCTGACCATTCCATTATGTTTCATTACACAGTGCGTAAAGCACATCGTGTCTTGATTCATCGTGAAGATCTTGACTTCTTTAAGTCATCAATCATTTCTAGAATACGGATTAAATAAACATACAATAACTTTATTCAAGTAGTATAGAAAAATTAAGTAAATAAGTTGTGTATAAAGACAATACGCCAAAGAGGAAATTCTTATCAATATTCGTAGTCAACTAATTTTGAACGTTGTTCTTACTTTGATCCATGTGATTTTTATCGGCACATTCTTTTACGTACTGCACTTCCTCTGGTTTGGGAGCTGTATCCTGTAACAGTTTGGTGTCTGAGTTCGCTAAATATTAAGTTTCATAATTAAGTCCAATAGAAATGACAAATGGTTTGCATGTAGCGCCAGAATTTTTTTCATAATTAAAGTCAACAAATTCAACTTATCAACAAAATGAGTATTTTGTGTTTAAAAATTACTTACACAATAGACTCCAGCAAAGCAAATTGCTACACAGACAGCGAGTAAGAATTTCATGTTAAATGTAATTCGTAAACAGCTGTAATGCTAATGTGAAATATTTTGAACTAATGATTGTCAAGCGATTCAATATTACTTATATATGTTGCTCCCCATTTTGGTCTTGATCTTCAATATAGATCACGCAAAAGGCGGTATACTGGGATAGCTTGATACAGTTTGATTATTTCTGTAAAACTTTTACCGTATCATTGGATCACTTTATCCTCGATTTCCAACCAGGCACTCGGTTAAGATTCTCATTTTATTAAAAAATATCAAATAGTATTTTATAAAATTTCCCTCAAAATAACGTCGCGAGAAAATTTTATTGACGATAAAGGTTTCTTTCTGTTTTTAAATAATAGAACATTTTTATTTGCAAGTGCATTATAAATTAAAAGTAGGCATAGCAAGATATATTAAATATTACTGTTAACTATATCTGCTCTGATCTCATTTAAATAAATAATTTTGTAAATAACTTTGTAAGTATACAATTATTAAATCAGAAAAAACTTTGAATAAGAATGGTTCATTCATATGGATACCCTCGTTAAAACCCATAAATGCCATGTTAATTTTCAAATGTAAAAAAAATTTCGTAGAAAAAATTTTTATTGATTGATATTGCAGTGTCAATTTCGATGCTATTTTAAATGCAATTTAAATATTCAGTCATTCGATGAATTTTAGGCGACATAAGGAATTTTCTTTCTGCTGTAAGCGAAATAATTTAGGATAAATAAATTTCTAGAAAAGGTGGTGTCTGAGTGAAGTAAGCCCGTTTTTGTGCAAAAGTTTAAAAAATGTGTTTAAAAAATCGTTATTTAGAATTAAACGAAATAAGGGTTTTAAAGTTTCTTCCAATTTAACAATTCCAATATAATTTTCCATGATAAAATCTACAAAGCGACTAATTAAAATTATTATTAAAATACTAATCCTATAATTATGTATTTTTCGGAGTTTAGATCTACTGAAATTTTCCCGTATTATCTGCACTGATGGAATCAAAATACGATAATGCATACTATGTATGCTGGTTTCATTAATAGATCTGCAAAGTATGGTCCATTCTGTAGATATCTTACTAAGGACAAATAAAAAATAAGATAAGCAAAGTATTTCATAATACGAGGAAAATTGCTTTGATATTACTGTTAATGTATTTTAGAGATAAAATGGATATGGAATGAACGTGGCACCTTTTTTCGTAAATTCGATTTTCAATGATTTTAAAAATTGATAAAATGTGCGTAAGAGAAAAAAACTTTAGCGAAAAAGTAGTTAAAAAGTTGACTTGATACTACCATCAAATTACTACCTTTAAGTTGTTACTATCACCAAGTATGATATATATATTATATTTTTATGTTTATTTGAGTGAACAAGTAGTTGTAATTTAGTTTGTACTTATATTTATGTACCAATTCTCCGAATAAGATCTTTATGACCTTCTTCGGGGCTTTGCACTTCCAACAGTAGTAGTAATATAGTTTTCGACAAATAAATAAAAAAATTAATAAACAATAACGTTTTTGGTAATAATATATCTTAAACATTCAACGGAAAACAGAGAAAGGAGGCGATATGTATAGGAAACCTTGAATTACATCTGAACAATGGCACTTGACTTGCAGCTGACTCTGAATCGCATTCAATATGAACTATTTCCTCTTGAATTCAGCCAAACTTCAGTTAATTTGTTTGCTTATTATTTCCCATACATGAAATTAACAAAGCGGATATAATATTATTAAAATTTTACGAATGTTTATTTTTTGCTATTTCTAGAAATGTTTAAGAATTTCAAGATAATAAAAGATGAACCAAAATATGACGTGTTATATCCACTGCATGTAAGAACATACTGGAGCTGTAAGATCTTTTTTATTAAAATATTTTAATAATAATTGTCGATATCCACCTACACAATGAAATAAGCGATAAATAGCTACTTTAATAAGAAGAGACGAAGAGCTGCCAGATACATCTGTACGAAGGTGAAAATAAACTGCAAGGATTACACGAATGACGAAAATAATTTGCTCGTCGAACCTCCTAATCCTTCATTTGAATTAACAGCATGGACTTGATTGGCTTGGAAGAAGCTACGTTCAATAATAACTTGTGCACGACCGCACGTCTATCGTGACCTTTGCGGTTACGTAGGGGAAATATGATAATGAACCCTTCGGGTGACGCGCGGGCGTCTCAAGATGAATAGCTCTCGGTTGGCTCGCTTTGATGAAAAAAAAACCCTCGTATTCTCAGTCGCGATTTATTGTTGAAAAAAACTGTTAGGCGTTTGTCACACAAGCATAAACGAGAAAAGAAAAAGAAAGGGATAGAAGGAGAGAGAAGCGTCAAATTACGCGACTCGATGGCGCAGCAACTCGATTAACGTTGCTCTCTCTCTCTCTCTCTCTCTCTCTCTCTCTCTCTCTTTTTATTCGCCAGGCAGTTTCCGCTCGCAGGAAATACATCTTCATTTATGCCCCGTCGTAACTTCTTAATGGCCAATGGCGCCCGTCGACGCTAAGAATTTACGATGTAACCCAGGCAAATCTCCATTGCACTGCCGATTTCCTTCGGGGGGTCGGTGCGCGCTCTCTGTATATGTATGCTTCGTTTTTTGCAGAATCAAAATTGATGGCTAGCACTCGCGCGGCTGCCGTCGCTTCCTCTTTTTACGGAGAAACAAGAGATTTGAGCTTTGTCAAAGGCATTTCCACTTCGGGGTACTCGCATTCGTTTCGGCAAAATTGAGAGCTCGCGCCTGCCTTGTGTTTTATTCCCTCCAGAGACGCCGGCAGAGTGCCCATTGTTTTTCATGTCCTGTTTATTTTCGCGCGCGGAGCCTGCTGAAATTTGCCAATCGGAAATCCAGAGCTACTGCGCACATTGTCGTTCAAATTTGGCTTGGGGAAAGCTTCCGGATTGCAGAAAATCGCCAGTAACGAGCGTTTTAATTTTTAGCTGCTACGAAATTTTTCAGTCGCGCCAAGTGATAACATTCGCAGTGGATATTGCGATTAGGTCGTTTTTTTCTCAAGTGCAGACTAGCAGTTTTTCTCGATTCTCATGATTTGTTACTTTTCGCGTTGTTTCAGCTCAGCTCATTAATGTGGCTATCCGAATAAAAGACTATTAATAGCCAGAAAGATTCTGTTAAATGTAAGACTGAAGATTTTACAGCTGATGCAATGCACACATTTTAATAAAATTGACTATATTTGATATTGCGAACATACTACTCAAGGTATGCTAAAGGTCGTTCTCAAAATATCGTAAACTGAACCCATCAACTTATTTTACGCTTCTCCTAAAATTGTCAATTCGTTGCGAACTTGCTGTCATCTACGGCATGATGATTGCGTCAATTGATACGCAAATCATTGACTGAATCTTCTTCTCAGTTTTTCTTGATATTTTCGTCGAGCAAAAGTAGTTTATATCATCAAAATTTACTAATTTTCTACCCGAGAACTAAATTATTCAAAAATACGTTCTCAACGCTTCAACAAGTTCATATATATATTTTTTGAGATATAATGCTGCTCCTTGAGTGTACCTGTAATTAGGCGGGCAGACTATAGTTCGTTTTTTTCAATACTGTATTTTTTTGAATTTGACGACACGATCAAGAAAATATTCTTCACTTTTTCAAATTAGCCGAGGGATTATTGGATTCCCATATTTTAAACAAAAACATCTTTTAAAGAAATTTTGCTAAGCATTTCGTTGAAAAACTAATAAAATTTTTTTATCATTATTGTATACTTTACTGAACAATCTAGTTGAATGTGCAAGGAATCATGATTTTGAATGTTTTACCAACTTGCACGAATATGCACGTGACCTGTCCTCCCTTAAGTGGCTCGGCAGTTGAATACAAATTGAAAATTTTGATCAAAATGAAAGTACTGATATAATATTGAATATTTTGTTACGCTATTAACTCAAAGTATTTCATTACATTCTTAAGTCTACTCTGAATCTAAGTTAAAGCAGGAAGGTTTGAGTATGTATAAATTAAAGTTTATTAATCATTTACTCTACTAATCTGAAGGGAGCAAGCTGATGGAGAAGCTTGAAAAGCCCTTTTATTGAAAATTGACGTCGAATCGAAGAAAGAACGAAACGAAAGTTAAGTCGGTTCGAGAAAAAGAAATATCACAGAATGCACACTGATATATAACGGTGAAGCGATAGATTCACTTGGAATCCGAGCCGATGACGGCTAGATGATTTGTTTTCGCCGAGAATGCGAAGCAACCTATGAAGGCTGCAGGACGCGAGGGAGCTCCGCACGCTGATATGTGTCGTCGACGACTGGCCCGAATTACCGCTAAAACACACTTCTTGGCATGCATCCACATGAACGCGCGGGAGGGCGCAGCTTGGCCAATGCTGCCGCTTCCGTCGCATTCATGCGGACGGCGCCAAGACACACTCAAACACACTCGCATGCGAGTACATAAATGTTACGATGTAACGCACTCCCGGCACAAGCTGCGGAATAGAGCTAAACGCATTGAGAGCTATGAGGCTGACTGTGACGGTAATAGGCGATTTTTAATATATTTCAAGTCGTTCGCTTCGAGGGCGCTGCTTTTTCATTGCCATTTATTGTCGCGTGAAAGTATTCGAGCAAAGAATCAAGCTTAGCCTAAGTCATTTCAAATTGGAACTAGCTAATGAAATTTAAAAAGTCCAAGTTTTGTTTTTTAACGTTGAGCAATAAGCCGCGGCTAACGCGCAAAGACCTGTGGTATTGCGTTTGTAAACGCCGGTCGTAGTAGCTCAAACGATGCCGTCGCTTCTAGGAGAGACCTCGACTATCACACCCAGCGGCCACCGCGAGCACCCCAGATTATCCTTCATTACGATAACTATAGATTCGACTTTCGATTCAGCCGTAGAGTCGTGCAATTTCTGACTGAAAAACGACCTTGCGAAGTAAACTTTGTTGGTTTATTGGAATTTCGTGAGTTATTCTGCAGATGAAGGAT